ATGTTTTTTTAGAGAACATCAATTGTTTTACAGGAAATGGAGCAAACCATTCCATATCCTTTTCTGCTGCTTGTTATCTCAAGCCCCAATCACAAAAGCAATTTTTCATTAATCAGTATCTCTGCATCAGCGAAGAAGCTTTCTCTTCTGCTTCCTAACAATGTCAGCCCACCATCATTCTCCATCTCAGTCCCTTTTAACAGCAGTCTCCCCAAATCACTTCTTCCTTTCCCTTATAGCATACAGCACTTTTCACCACTGTGTGTGGCAGCAAACATCTCACAGCTTTCCTCGCAGCTCCCTGGATGCAGTCATCTCCCCACTTGCCAGGAAGCACAACAGGGCGTAGAATTGAAAAAGTACAGAAAATTCATACAGTGTAGAAAGTGAAGACTTTGCCTTTGTAATTAATGCCGTGTTCCTTCCTTTCCTTCCTTTCCTTCCTTTCCTTCCTTTCCTTCCTTTCCTTCCTTTCCTTCCTTTCCTTCCTTTCCTTCCTTTCCTTCCTTTCCTTCCTTTCCTTCCTTTCCTTCCTTTCCTTCCTTTCCTTCCTTTCCTTCCTTTCCTTCCTTTTTTAAGCTGGTTACTTTGCTTTTTAATCCATGTATGTGTTCTTGATGCTGGTATTCAGGAAGGGTTGAAAAAAGGGGATGGGGAGCAAAGTGAAGGAAAAGGGAAGAAAACAGAGGGTGGGGGAAAACACAGTGCTGTACTTTGAGGAAAGGAATTTAGAATGAAGCCTGAGTGTGGGGGGCACTGGTGGGAACCTCAAATAAGCAACCAATGGGCAAGAAAGGTCTTCTAATAAAGTCTCCAGTCAAAAATGATAGAGTGCGTGGCAAACCCGAGCCAACCCAAAAACCTTGAAGCAAAAGGAAAGCAGCTGGAGGATGTCATAGTGTTGTGAGTGAATCAGAACCTCTCCTCTGAGCTGTGGTGGTTGTCCTAATACTTCTCATGCTTCATGTTGGTGTTGCTTCATTTTGGGAGACAGAGAATGATGAGCTGTAACGAGGAAGAAATGGGCTGCTAATAGCATGGAGGAGTAGAGAGGTTGTATCTGGCTTTAATACTATTGATAATGTAGTTCAAGGGATGGAGTGTCTCTTCTAAATGGCACTTCTCAGTCTCTCCAGCCTATTGTAAGTGAGATGTATGTGCGCTGTGGCCAGAGATGAATGGTGGAGATAGGACCTCTGAATCAATCTTCACTGTGTGGTCTTCTTTTTCTTCTTTTTTTCTTTAATTTAAGCCAGGAGTTGATTAGCTGCCTGGCAATGATTGCTGCCCGTTGGCACCTCCCATTGGAAGCACGCTCCAAGCACCAGCTTTCTGCTCTGTCAGGCAGGGCAGGTTAAGCAGGCTGCTTACTGAGCAAAAGGAATTTCTCTTCCCATGAGAGGCCGAGTGCTGCTACCCTGGCAGGGAATGCTCTAATTCCTGTGGAGGTGACAAGCAGGCTGCTACCCTCTGCTGGTGAGTGGCCGCAGGATGGCGGTGGACTTTGGGTTTAGATTTGCTCATGGATGAAATAGAATGATAAGAGATTATTGAGCCCAGTTTATTTATTTCATGTATGAAATCCCCTGGTTTTGTTTGGGCTTTAGAAAGTGTTCTAATTGCAGTGTATCCATTATCTGTCTGTCTATTTCTGGAATGTAAATGTGTAAGGATATCGTTCTCACCAGAGCCTCAAAAGGTGCTGACAGGAGCTATGCATCTTTTTATCTTTCAAGGCACAACTGCAGTGTCTTGCAAATGAGATCTGAAACCATCTACAATTTTTTACATTTGCTATATTCTGTGTGTTTTAGGAAAACTTGGAGACATTTGGAAACTACGTGGCATTGTTATCGTTTCTTTCAACAGTTCAGTGGTGAACTCTAAGTTATTTTAGACCATATAACTTTGTAGAATTTCTGCTTTGTTCAGTCGCTGTGTGGTGTGTCAAGAAGGAAGGACTCGAAAGAAAAGAGTAGTTACTGTGTTGTGGTTCCCCCTGCTTCCCCTGGAAGAAGCAGATGGTCGGGGGTCCCAGGAGGTAAGAGAAACGGGGCCATTAGACTGTCAGTGGCTTGTGAAAAGCAGAAGCATCTGGCAGAATGGAGACTTGTTCAGCAGCAGGGGAGGCAGCAGCAGCAGATGATCTCTGCCTTGAGCAGTCAATGGTGTTGTAGTCCGCTGGGGAATTGCTGCTGTGGGCGTAGCTGCAGGTAACCTTGGCAATAATCTAGTTGGTCGGGCAGACTGAAAACAAGGGAAGAAAAGGCTTGGTGCTCATCCTCAGCAAACTTAAACACTCACTTTTCCTGCCTAATCGGCCCCAACTACAACCCATGTGAAAATATCTGTGCCCATCCTCAGCTGAGCACTACGGGCACGTTGAAAATCTGCCAGTCATATTCCCACTGCGAGTTTCAGAATAGCAGGATGAACCACATTCGATGCAATGAAGAATTAGTTCAAAGACTAAATTAACAGTTTGAAAAGTATCAAAAATGTTGCTAGGGGTCTTTTTGTTTTCAGCTGTATCGCACAGTGTGCTCTTACGATGTGCCTTTTTAGTTTTAAGAAATCTTTGACATAGCTGCAGTTTAATCTCTGCTGTTGCAGTTCATAGGCTCCTGTTGATTGCTCTGTGCAGGACACAGTGTTCCAGGGAAGAATGACCTCTGCTGTTGCAACGGCGCAGTGGTACTTCAAAGATGAGATAAAGTGGGGAGGACAGAATGCCTCTAAGGGACAACGCTAGAAATTCATATCCTTGTTCAAAAAGAATAGTTGATTTGGGTTCTGTCCTGTTAGAATAATTAATCTAGGTCTGCCACATCTGAGACGGAGTATAAAGCTTGCAGGTAAAGCACTCTGATCCAGAGCTCCTCGAGCTGCACTTTGTGAATACTTGGCATAGGTGAATCCGGGACTGCTGCCAGTACACAATAATCTTATAGGGTTGATTTCATAGCCAGGAAGAGCCATTTTTTATACATGAAACTCGGTTTTACTCCCGTGAGAGTGAATTACATTGCTGTTTGGCCAGAGGTCCATGTGTTTCAGTGTGCATTTAAATACTGTGTTAGATTTTATTATTATTTTTTTAATGGTTGGAAACCAGCATTCATGTTCTGACAGGCAAAAATAAGCTTCCTGCGTGTCTCTTTCGGGCCCCAGGGGCACTTTCCTTACATTATAAATAGTAGTTTGTCATGACACACGTTCACTGCTTAGAAGATAGAAACAGTATTAAATCGGAACGTTGAAAAAGGGAATGTTGAAGATCAGGCTCGAAAAGCTTTGGCATAAGTGAAAAGAGAAGGCAGCATTTGAGACTAGAGTTGTACATGTCAGGAGAAGTGATGCTTCACAAGCTTTGCTGCTAGTTGCATCTGCTTTGATTTGAAGAGGGCCACCTGGTTTATGGCTGGAGCTAATTTTGCTTTCATCCTCATTCAGTCGTTTAAATGCAACCTAGTCATCGCTGTCAGCATCACACAGAATAGCAGGAAGAGCAACAACTGTCAGCTATTCCTAGGTTTTTTGTGAAGTGCTGCAATCAAAACCCTGTTTGTTCAGAGTGAGGGATTTCTCTGTGGCTGTAATCATTGGCCACGTCTGTCCTGCAGGCCCGCACTGCCACACGTGTGTAAGGGATGTAAGAAGTGCTGTCTTGCTGATGCAGCCATCCTGGCATATGAGGCTCCTCGTTTGGCAGAAAAATGGTGCTTTTGTGCAGTGCCAGGTATGCTGCTGGTTCAAGCACATCTGTTCCATGTGCTGTATGGCTGTTGCATGCTGGTAGAGTTGATGGAGTGCATGTAATTTGACAACAGTTTCTCCAAAAGGAAGAGAGATTTTAGGTCATCTCATCCATGTGCAATCATTGACCAAAGCGACTTCTCATAGCCTGAATTCAAGGTGAAGTGTTCATTCAGGTGTATGAAGCCATGTTATATTGGTCATGTTTATCAGCAAACCCAGAGTCTCTGTGTTTCTTAGGTACATCTGAGAAGTTGTAGTTAATATTTTTCTGCCACTGGTCTTCTTGCATTTTACTTTTCATATAGGAGTGGCCTCTCAGCCCTCTGCTAGATGTGACTGAAGTGTTTTTTCTTTGCAAAATGTTAATTTGCCAGCTTTCATCAGGATCTAAGATCAGTTAATGCAAATCACTCACTGTATCCATTCAGTAAGAGGAGTTGTTGTCTGAATGAGGTGTGCTGTAGGCCTACATCTGTAAAGTCACTCGAGAGGAAGTAAATGGGCGAGTGGCTTTCATCCTGTTGCGTTCACATCTGTCTGGTAATACAATCAAATACATCATTGACCAGTTGAGGTGATAGGATTTAGGTAATGGAACTTGAACATATTCGTCAGATGAATCTTTCTGCTTTGAAAATAAATATGTGGCATCTTTCTAGCACTGTGAGCGCTTCTTCAGGAGAAGTGCCATTTCTGTGACAGTGAGGTATTTTTCCTTGATGGCATCTTCCCCTGCTCCAGGTAAACCTTTCTTCATCACCTGTGAAAAAATGTTCAACTTGGCCTTGATCTTCCTGAACAGCTAGTGGTGAGGAAACCGATGTCAGCAAATTACTTTTGCACTAATGGTGTCCTCTAAATCATCTTTGTCATGCTAATTTTCATTTTTAAGCTGCTGTAGATTCAAAAAAGCTCTTTTCCAATTTTAACACTGATGTCATTGTCAGGTGCTGAAACATGGGTCAATGAGATGGATTTGAGAGAAGTGTTCCAAGTTCTGTCTGAATGACTGGTGTGAGCATTTGATCTACATTGCCTGGTTAAGCACAGCTGAAAAGTTTTGTGTTTGAAACAGCTTATGTTGCCTTTATTCAAAAGGCCTTTCTTTCTGTGATGTATAAAGCCATAACGTTGTGATACTCAAGAACTGTGTGCTGCAACGTGGTTGATTCCCAGCAAAAAGCACATATTTGGAATTATTGTTACAGTCTTCATTGCCCATTTCTTGTTTTCCCTTTCAGAAATGTTCCCATTGCCAGGAACCAGGAGCCACCTTAGGCTGCTACAACAAAGGCTGCTCCTTCCGATACCATTACCCATGTGCCATCGATGCAGGTAAGAAGAAATGCCATGCTAACTGTATGTCTAACTACTGATGTAGTAACAGAAATGATGATGGATCACATCAGACATCGTGCAGTAATGCACTGGGACAAAATGGAACTTGCAGTGATACGTATCTACCTGAAAATGCAGGATTGTTTTTACACAACACAGCTGCAGCAACTGAAATGCAGCTGCTGTGTGAGAATGGCAAAAAAAGAAAAGGATGCAAGCAACCAGAAAGACATGTCCCCTCTTTCAGAGTATCACTTGTAAAGATAATAGTGATTTCAAGTGCAGAGTGTAGTATCTTCAGTACCACTAGCAGTACAGCCTTCCTTCTCCCTCCTTAGAAGCTGATAACAACTAGGTCCAGTTGTTACCATTGGACAAGCTAATGGTTTGCAGAATTTGCACTTTTTATTCAGTGATTAGAGGAGGAGTTTGGAGTTCTGTGAGTACACGTGCCTTTATGGAATGTGGTGTTCACCTGGTGTGAACAGAGGTTGTATAGAAGACAGAACAATTGGTTGCAGGAAAAAAGCTTCACTAGAATGTTGTTAATAGATGTCTGGAAATTAAAACAGAATAAAAGATTTGGATTGTGCAGTCTCCTCTGACACAAGGAAAGGTAAGAGGAATGCATGTAAGGTATGTCACGACAATTTACAAGAGGTTCTGTGAGTTTTAAACTATCTTCAGCTATGAGCTTGGGGTTGAATTGGTATTTTGTGTGCAAGAGTAAGTTTTCCCTGGAGATAAATTTTATTCTTGAATTATTAAAAAAAAAAAACCACCAACAAAACAGTTCAGAATAAATAATGCCCAGCTCTTCCAGTACTCTGTAACTCACTTCTCACACTGTACAAAACTTAGTCCGATTGCAAGGAGGTAAGGATTCAAGTTTGCATCTCTTGACTGGCATATAAATGCAAGCTCCCAATTTGTTATCGCATTTCCACAGCAGACCACTTCTTTCTCCACCTGTTTTGTGCTATTTTTCAAATACTACAGTGCTTGAAGTAGGTTTGCTCATTTCTGAATGACTGCATTTCACTTCTTGCTGTGAAATCCCACCCTATTGGAGCATCGCATTTTATTCCAATAGAAATGTATTTAATACAAAGAGTATTGCAGTGGAATACGACTAATACCGCAGCATAGATAGAGAAGCCTTGATTGTACATGGAATGCAGCGTTAAAGAAACATTACTCAGGTTGCAGAAATTGCACACTCAAAAAAGGGCAGAAATAAGGCTGTCCTTGTAAATTTAATGATGATCTCTTAGGAATGTATCTTAGGAGATAGTAAGCACCTAATTAAAGACTTATTTTTCAATAGATAGGGCTTCACTTCAACTCACAGGATGAAGGGATATTCCAGTAATGAACATTACGTTATCCACACTTTGTGATTCTGTGTTTTATTGAGTGAAATTTTCCCATCTCAGTTCAGAAAGTAGAGTTGTGAAATTCTGTAATCTTTATCTCTGAAGAGTTTTGTGAACATTAGCAAACTTGTCTGCATATTTAGTGATTTGTTCCTGATTTATGACTTCTCGTTTTCTGTGCCATGAAGATACAAGGTAAAATTATAGTGAATGTGCCCAATAATTCAGGGTGCTTAATAAGAATTTTTGTGTACCTGATGTAGTGTTTTCTGTGTTCCAAATACAATAACAAAATTAAGATATTGTCCTTTTTCTTCAGATATATCTTCCTCATTAACACCACTTCAGAAAATGCAGTAGGATTCTCCAGATGACACATTCACTGAACAATCATGACTGATTCTCAAGAGTAGTTTCCATGCGTGGAAGAGGCAGTATTCTATGGAAAACCAGTATATAGTCCTACTCTTAAATTCATAGTATTAAATCCATGCTAAATGTAGTATAATATGTTTACCGTATAATTTGTTGAAGTGGGCTACCTTACATTTGGTATAGCCTAACATTCATTTTGCCACTGTAACCTTTGAGGCTTTTTTAGAGTAGCTTTCTGTGTTCATGTTCCAAGGCTCTGCTTGCCTCATTTTCTTCTGCTCTAACTTCTGTCATGAGACATAGCTTTGTCATGTGGCCATCTGTCAGAGGGCACCATTCCAAGCTGGTTTACCCACTTAGAGTAACATGGCAAGAATAAATTGCAAGCCACTGGGTAGATGAGAGCTGCATGGAGATGGGGTACTTTGGCTGTTTCATGAGCATACTTAAACAATAGTAGAGGAATGATGAAACTTGTGAATCTCTGTGTTCAGTCCAGGTACAGTATGATTTACTGAGAGCAAGGACTCGGGCCTCTCCCTCTCTTCATTCTGCTTTTCCTCTGTTTCCTCTCATCCCACTAATTCTTAGTCTTCAGTCTTCTGGCAGAAGTACACTCCTGATGTAGTCTTCTCTTCCTTCTGCTGATTCTCTCCCAACCCAGCCAGTCCCATTTACTTCCCTCAGTCTTTGCATAAGTCTCACATCTTACTCTGTGGGATCACATGCTTCTGATTCCATTCCTCCTTCATTCCCTGCTCTTGACTTTGAGCCCTACTCTCCGCAACCTGCCAGTTTGCATTCTATCTCCAGCTCCACATTCCCATCCCATTAGCCTTTTTGCTTCTGCTGCCTTCTGCACCAGAGCTTCCCATTTTGCGGTGGAGAAATGACCATGTCCTTTCTTGAGACTTCCTGGGCCTTCAAGGGGATCCCTGACAACTTTGCAGCTTTTGGCTCTGATGCCTAAATCTAAGGCCCAAGAAGAAGCACAGTTGTTGGAATTGCAAAGGATTTAGCTACTAAAATAGAAGAAATCTCTCTGAGAATGTGCAGATTAAAATCCCCTTACCTCCTTGCACAGAGTGACATTTGCTGGTTTTGTGTTAAGTTGCAAGAGAGTGCCTTGGCTAAAATTCTGTTCTGGTCCCATAGCAAACCAGAATATTGTTAGAGTCTTTCAGAGAAGGTTTGCCCAGGATGTTGAGCACTGGCAGAATAATTTTTCCAAGAAAGAGTTTTAAGGAAATGGTTGGACTGCTTTAGCTGAGGTGTTGAACCAAAACAAACAGAAGAGCTCAGCTTGACGTACGTTCTTGGAATTGAAAATTTCAGCCTGATGACATGACAGTAGGACCTTCCTTGCAATTCTTTATACCTGTGGGAATAATCAAGCTGTCTTAATCTATAGATGCTCTTCCAGTCAGTATAAAAGAAACAAGTTGTAAGGAATAGGACTTCATTTTCATTTATAGTCAAACAGAAAATGTGAGCTTCCTGGAGAAGCAAATCAGCATTCTCTTCTCTCTCGCCAGCCTGCTGTCTGCCTATAAACCTTTTTATTGGTGATGCAGTGCTGCTGCAGTGAATCAGGTGTAGGTATTTCTCAAGTTCCCTGAGCCCTGTGGTAGTTTGCTTTGAAGTCAGCCGCCCCACTATGAAGGATGCAGCCACCTTTAAGGAGGAGATGATGCTGAGTCCTCAGAAGTTTGTGCAGACATTTACAACATGCTCAGGCCTTTGGAATACATATGACTGCTTCTGTATCTTAGAAAAAAAATATATTCAAAAAACACTTACTGAACTGCTTTTTAGGGTATGTCAAGTCATAAACACTAAGTGCTTGACAGAGTGACTTTGGCATCCCTGGAAGTGTGAGTGTGCCATAGCTGAGATTCAGTGTGTGTCTTACGCCTGGGCAGCTGCACTGAACTGAAGTGTCTCTGCCTCTGAGTTGGTTGGATTAGAAGCGAGTGCCCTGTCAGCTCCTGTGCCTTATCGTGTGAAGGGCAGCATGTTTACAGTGAAGGACTGGAGGGTGCAATACCTGAGAGCCACTTGAGCTACTTGCCGTACTTTGTGCCAACCCTGCTGAGGAGCCACATTTTGGGCTGTTGACACTAAGTGGCTGCTGTGCAGGGCATATGTCTTCCTAAGCTTCCAGTTGGTACATTTAGATGCTTTTGTATATCCCAATTCAGTCTTCCTTTTAATCTTCTCTCATACAAAATAATCTCTGGCAGTGTAGGGTGTGTTTCTGTGCGAGAGAACTGTGCAAAAAAACAGCTGAACTCCTGCTGGCCATTTGCATAGAAATCAAGATTAGTAGTGCCACTTAAATAATTTTTACGTGGAAATGACTGTGGTTAACATTGTCTGTGTTTAGCTTTTGTCTGTCCAAATTTACAAAGAGCCTGTGATGTCTCAAGATAACTTAGTCCTGAAGATGTCTCCATGGAAACAGAATCTTTGTTTTGTGAAATTTGCTATCTGCTCCCTGGGCTTGTTCCTTGCCACCTACAGTCAGATGGTGCAGCACTCTTGTACCCTCAGCATCCAGCACAGGGAGCAGCTCATACTGACATTTCGTGATTGTAAATTAGGTGAAAACGAATAGCAGCAAAATAAAAAGGATTTTCAGAGAAGAGAAATTCCATGTCTTCACAAGTATCATTAAAGATGAGGAACAAGAAGAACACAGAGAGTGAGGCAAAGCGTGAAGCCTGCAGAAGAAAAATTGCTTCCATTAGAAATGCTTTAGGCTTTTTCCTGACTGCTTTATGGAGAAAAATCTGTACAAACAAGGACGAGTCTCTGCTCTTTTTCCCTTTCTGCCATGATAAGCTGATGGTAGCTACGTGTCTGCTGATTTGGTGGTGAATTGTACTCTGTGATGTAAAATCCTTGGAACTGCCAGTTGAAACCCAGGCCAGCTTGGTAATGTTGAGCAATTTTTTCTGGTTTACTGCTGTTCTGTTGATTTTTATAGGGAGCAGTTGGTTTTCTACAGTTGTCCCTTAGGAAAAACAAAAAAATTTCATTAATTGGGATTGCTATCAGTATTTACAAGAAAAAATGCCAAACTTCTTAAGAAACAGAGCTCCATTCTCTGATCAAGCCTGAAGTGCAAGGTGTCTGACTTTCCTTCCTAATACTTGTGCCATCTTCCTTTCAGATAGAGAACTGCATTCATTACTGACGTCAAATTTCCAAGAAAAAAAAAATCCTTTTCTAACATGCTGTGTATATTTTTCGATCACTGCTCTGTGTTTTTAATGATTAGTGATTTTAATGATATCGCTGTATTGTACAGTGATAATTCAGAATATAGTCGAAATGTACAATTCCTGCCCTTACAACAACAATTTATTTCATTTCTTTTATGTTATTTGCTAATGCTGCGTATGAAATCGTTATCCCTGGCAGGATTAAAGGTTTTACTCTTCCTTGCTAAAATCTCTCGATTAACTTTGCCCACTGCACGCTGTTTCCCTTTGATTCAGGCCAGAGGCATTTGTGTTGGAACATAAACGTTGCATAGCGGAGGGATGCTCTGCCAAGGCTTGGGTGTCTAGGAAGCCTTTCCCTCAAGCTTTAGTTGCAGTCTCCTGCTGTCTGCTAAACTCTTCCAGCAGATTGAAACAGCAGGTAGCGCTGGTTATGCTGCATACTTAAGAGCGTTTTAAATTAGCACATTTTATTTACCATCTTGCGGCTTTCCTTGCTGGCTGTTTGGAGAGGTTGAAAAGATGGAAGGTCGTAGGCAACTTGCTGAATGCTCCTGGTGTCAGCCAGTGCCCATGGTGTGGGAGGAGATGGGAGGTACCAACACCTGCACTGGCACAGCTCTCTGAGCTGCTTTGTAGAATCCTAAACAAGCACTGCTTAGGTGCCCCAGTTTTTTTTAATAGGTTTAAATCATTAATTAAAAGGTTTCTTAGGTCATAGAAGCTTTGCATACACAAATCATGGAAGCAGATCCAAGAGCAGCATGAGTGACCCAGCTACCAGACATAGTGTCAAAGTGTAAACTGATCTTCAGGATTTGGGATTGTAAATAAACTGTCATATGCAACCATACCTAAGGGACAGTCACCCCTTCTCCCTCTGTTGTTGGCAGGGCATTGGGGTAGGATGAAAGACAGCAATTTTCCTATGACCTGCAAAGCAGGGATTGTCTGTTTGGGATGGGGTGGATGTGTTTGACTTCCTTGTGCAAGGAAGGCCAGAGTAGATGAATGGGGTTGGGTTGCAGGATTTGCAGTTTTGCTGTTGTGATTCTTTTGAATACAGAGTACTAGGGAGGCTGGGGATGCTTAGGTTTGGTTACCCAGGTGACACGGGGGTGTGTAGTAATTTTAATTGCTACAACTTTGGGAATGGAAGGGACAAATGTGCTGATAAGATAGTATTCCTAACAAAAAAAAAAAGGATATTTGAATGAAAAATACATTGCCTGAGAAGCACAATTAACACATGTGGTGTGTTATTCAAATTGTTTTTTATTAAAAATGTAATAAGTTGCTGTCTTCTCCTCCTCTAGATTGTTTACTAAACGAAGAGAATTTCTCAGTGAGGTGCCCCAAGCACAAGGTAAGAATCCTCACCTGTATTAGACCTGTTTTTTTTTGCTGTCCTCTTCTGGTATTTAAATCTGCTTTAATAGCTTTATACCTGGATAACATCTGTAATCAGAGGTGCTTTTTTCTTCTGTGGTGCATGCTTGCAGTATATTCTGGGGACACACATCAACTTTAGAAGAATACAGGGAGTTTAAGAAGATAAGTGAAGATTTTGCCATGTCTGTTCAGTCATTCTTTAGATTCTTGATGATATGTTAGAACCAGCTTCTTTTCCTGCCTTCTGTGATAGAACTAAAACGCTGCTCACTGCATCGGTTCAAGTGCTTTGTTGAAACTGTGGTGGTTTATTTTTCTTGGATTTACTGAGGGTGCAAGAAGGAAGAAGTAATAGCTCATGGAAAGGTTTCAACAGCTTTGGGAAAGCTGAAGCATTTAGACTACATCGTGAACCATTGTTGTCTATGTGAAATACCTTGTCCTAGTGTTGTGGTTTAACCCAGCAGGTAGCTCAGCATCACACAGTCGTTTGCTCACTCTCCCCTTTTCCAGTGGGATGAGGAGAGAATAAAAACAAAAAAGCAAAACAAACAAAACCCCAACAAAGTAGAATTCAAGAATTGAGATATACTATTTCCTAAGAGAAAAGCAAAAGGAATATTGTTATGACCATACATATATAGCAAGTGATGTGCAAACAATTGCTCATCATCCCCTGACCAGTGCCCAGCTACCCCAGTGAGCTGAACCCTCCTTCAGAACTCCTTCTGCTTGATGTCATCTGGTATGAAATATCCCTTTGGCCAGTTTCAGTCAGCTGTCCTAATTCAGTTCCCTACCAGCTCCTTGGCCCTTCACTGCGAATAGCCTTGGCTTAGCAAGTAACTATAAGCATCCGTGTGTTACCAACATTGTTTTTGTCCTCAAACCAAAACACAGCATCGTACCAGACGCTCGGAAAAATTCTGTCCCCGCTGAAACCAAGACATCTAGTTAAGTGGTAGCTACTAGACTGAGTCCTTTGATACACGTTTGGCTGCTCTTTGGATCTTGACTCTTCTAAAGACTCATTGTTTCCTGTTTTTGGTAATGGATTCAGCATGATGCTTATGCCTAGAATGTGGATATACTTTGCTGAATGCAGACCAGTGGTGCTGGACTTCTATTGCTCTGTGTGGAAAGAGGAGACATAGCACATATTCTCTTGTGCATATGAGTAATGTGATAAGGATTGGGATTATCCATCCTCTCTCTTGTCCACTAACTTTCCCCTATCCATAAGTGACGTTGCAACTCTGGGACACTGTGGGTATCCGTCCACTGGTTTTAAATGCTCAGGAGTCTCCAGAAAAATGGCTGCTCTTGTGGCCAGTTGGATGGCATATAAATGGTGTGAGAGCATGGATGGCCCATGCTGGAAAATAAATGATAATAGGGAACAATTCAGTTACTCTCATTTAGTCTCCATTTAGTTCTTGTCTGCAGATCTCTGCCTAGAATTAGACTGACATCTGGTGGTCTTTTGTCTTCGCAGATTATCTTTAATCTGTCTTTTGTAAACATAAAATAATTAGTCTCATAGTGCTTTCTAGATTTCTTACCACAATATGATGTATTTAGACAGACGTATTTAAAATGTGCTGGAAGATTCTGGAAGCAGTGAGTCTGTGATCCAGAACTGGCCTACTTTTATCATATTAAAGAAAATAACGTACTCTGTGCAATTGTGGAGGTGATGTTGAAAATTTACAGCACGTTTAAATGGATGTATTAATGCTGCAGTGAGCCTGCAGGTCTCCCCAAACGAAAATTGAAAGGGTGAGCTCCCTTTACTGTGGAATGCAACAGCATAAGTGCCATCTGCTGCCCGGCTTTGGATACCTGCCTGTAGAGAACAGGAAGATGACGTCTTTGAGAACTCTTTTATTTTCGGTGCCTACTGCCTGAAGGGAAAGACAGTTCTGGAGTTTTTCTTATCTGGCTTGGGTCACCAGTGCTTGCATTGGTGATGCCCAGACCATGAAAGGAAAAAACTACTTGGGGGAATCCAACTTCTGGAGATGATAGTGAAAAGGCACATCGGTTTCTGAAGTAATCTTGGGGAACAGGAGGGGGTAGACTGCTAAATATGTTGATTGAGGTACCTCATGAAGCAATAAAAGTTGTGGATTTTGCTCAGAACTGTTCCACTTCCACACCTGCTGTGTTGCTTTCAATACAGAAATTCAGCATCAGCAACTTTTGACACTGCACTTTGTTGTCATTTGCTTAGTAAATACACAAATCATTTGCAGTCAAGCAGGGAGTTTTTATTTATTTTTTTATTTTATTTTGCCTGTGTGTGATTCAGCCCTTGCTCTGTGACTCACTGAGCATTTCTGGCAGCATACAATATTGCCCTGCTCTTTTTATTGTAGTAATTGGGAGGGGGAGTTCCAGCCAGTTGTAAGGTGGGGCCAGAAAGGCTGAAAGCGACTGCTTTAGAGTGACTGGAAAACAAATTACATCAGTTCTTCTGCAAACTATGAACATGAGCAACTGAAAGGAAAAGACACTTTAGATGAGGCCATTTAAAACCAGGCTATTAGGTAGCAGCAGTTGAACATTAGTAGCTAATTAGTAGCTGTCTAATATCTCACTCCTCTGTTCTTTAGTTAATGGGTGGAAGAGCTAACTTCATAAATCCACTGACACTCAGTGAGTGCCCAGTATAGTGCTTCTTAGCCTTTTTTCAGTCCGTGCCTCACGTCGGTAAATACACCTCATCATAATAAGTGGCTCCCAGAGAGTAAAGGTGCTTCTTGCCTCATTAACTGCGCTTAACACTTCAGGCATAAGCAAGCTGTGTCCAGAGGGACCTATCCTGCCTTTCCCTATGTTCCCCAGTGGGCTTTCCCATTTCCTTCTGTCAGCATTGATGCTTCAACCATCCATGTCCTGAATGTGCTACTTTTGCAAAATAGCAGCTTTTATCGCAGGGAAAATGCTGTGTGAAAGCTAATCATCTTCTGAAGGGTTCTGCTTCCACTCACAGAGCCAGCTCACTGTGCTGCATCAGAGTCAGTGCTGTTTGCAACAGACCTGGTGAGGATGCAAAAGCAGAGAAAGGGAAGCGCAGGGGATGAGATGCCTCACCTTTTGGTGGCACTGCAGTCTTAGATCGTCTTAAGCTATCCGTGGGCAGTTTTAAGTGGTGTTGCTAAGTTCATTCTACCTTTCTGTGTTAAATTCTATGTTTCTTAACCAGGCTTCCATGTCCCAAACTCTTTACTTTTGCAAATTTACCTGCTTTAGGGAAAACTCTGTCTGAAAATCTGTGTCTGGTTTCAATACTGACTTCTCTTTCTCTCTCTCACTTTCTGTATGTTCACTTTCCCTACCCCTGTCTTCCTTTTCTCCCTTGTTTTCTTTTTCCTCCTCCTTTTGGCTTGCTGGTTTGTCAGCCCCTCCTTCCTTGCTCTCTTCCCTCCTTGCAGAACAAGATGGTGAAAGGCAGCCTCAGCACAGAGCAGTCGGAGCGGGGGTGAGGGGGGAAGTGTACTCCTGGGAATGGAAATAAAAGCAAGCACAGGTGAGTTGGGGAGAGCTTCCAGTTTCCACCTGCTTTCTCCTGTGGCTCCTTTACCTGCAGTGCTCTTCCCCACTTCTGAGAGATAACATGGTGATCTCATGTACGTGCCGCAAATCTGTAATTACTAACTTTGGTTTTCTTTTTTTCCTTCTGCAATCTGTTCAGGCTAGTCACTTCGGGGTTTTTTGTACACAGCAGTTCCTTCTGCGTAGTGATGAGAGACAAAGCTTGTTGCAGCTGCCCTATTGCTCTCCCAGCTAAGCCAGTGGCAAAAATCTCCTTTAATATCACGCTCTTAACAATCTTTTTTCTTAAGTGACTGGTAGTTAATAAGTTTCTGGTTTTGTTTTGTTTTTGCTTTTTTCCAAGTTCATCGGTGTCTTTGTGAGAAAGGATCAATGATACCAATGAGTCCAAGATTACTACAATCTTGGTTTACCTGTTTTCCAGAAATGTAAATATAGGGATAAGTGTATTGATCTTATCAGGAGTGCGTTCTATTTTCAGGATAGCATTTTTCTTCATTTTTGTGGGTGAGAGAAGGCCGAGCTGTATCCCCAGGTGACCACAAATTCAACTTCCTAATGTTTCTTCCAATTCCTTACAGCTCTGCCCTCTGTATCCAAGGTAGCTGTAGAAGTGTTTGGTCAGCATAAGCCAAAAGGGCTATGGGAGGCAGCAGCTCTGTTCTTGTGCCCCAACACCCAGCTGCTCTTCCCTTCAGCCTCCCTCTTTATCTAGCCCATGGGCGTCCAATGTTTTGGCTTGCCTGGACAGCACTGTGTGAATAGGAATTGTCTTGGGCCACATATATGTAAATTGCTCTGAAGGTAATATTTTCTGTTTATTTACATGGAAAATACAAGAGATACAGAGAGCACAGCAGCTGTTTGGTAGAGCAAATTCTCAGAGCTACAAAACACTATTTTTCAACATAGTCATCACCATTAGCTCTGCATTTTTGCCAGTGATGAACAAGAGCCTACATGCCATGCTCATCAAAACCTGCTCCAGCAGAGGAGCAACACCCACTGCCCCATAAACATTCAGTAAACATTAGTGAATGTCAGTGTAACTTTTTCCTCATGGAGGAATTCAGTGATTCACCTTTGCTTCATACACACTTCCGTGTCAGACACCAATTTGTCAGACTGCCCCTCTGCTGTCCTCTGTCACACAGCAACAAAACCTAAGGGAGTATTGGTGGGAAGGTTCACCTTCTACTGCCATACCATTAACATCCACCTCTGACATTGTGGGCCAATATAATAAAACAGGAGGCATTACTTTCAGAGCTGCCCTCATAAAATACAAGTAACAAAACAGTTTTTAATATTTTTCTTAAAACAATTTCAAAAAGAGAGGAACAAAAACATAAGACTAATGGGATATGTGACTTTGTGAAATGAATGCATCGCCCTGGTTCGATGGCAGTGGTTGCAGTTCATAGTGAGGTCTCAAGATACTCATCAGAGATTTTCTGAAGAAATTTTACACTTCCTCTAGTTCATCCTTGACAGTAGTTGTTCAGAATGTGTGTACTGCCAACAAGTGATGACATGAATACGGTGTGATTGTGAAGCAAAGGATATTTCTCTCTGGTAAGAGAGGGATTATGAAGGTCTGGTGAAAAGACACAGATTCTGGAGTTGAATATCTGATTGCAACTGTATATGTTCTGTTTGAAAATTTGCAGGTAATGTATTTAGATCAACTCAAAATAATGTTGCAGACTTCTTTTTTTTTTTGCAATCTTGAAACCTGTTTTCAAATTCCTATATCAAAATGAAAAGCTCAGCCGTGTATTCTTCACTGCTTGGAGCCCTGTGTTTAGCCAGTATATCCAAATGCATACTGGTATTTGCTGTTGAGCCAACACTGCACAGCACTACCCTTCCTGTGCCCTGCTTTTGGTTGACACAACCTTCATAATAACATTCTGACAGTTTGGTTGCTGCAGAGCAATGGGGGCTGTGCCTGGGGCCACTCTCAGGGAAGAGCTGCCTCCTTTGTAGCGCGGGGCAGGAGGTGGCCACGTGCAGCCCATTGGCCGTGAGTTGGTTGGATGTGCTTGCTCTCACCCAAGTCTTCAGGAGGCCATGTGTGAACTTGGTCAGATATTTGATGTCTGAAAATTGTGTTTTGCCATATTAGTGTATCAGTTTGAATCCTTTTCTTAATCTGATTTGCTGTATGTCTGCAGTGAGAAGGGAGTAGCACGGAGGTGGCAATTAGAGCGGGTATGATGAGGATGGGGTTTCTTATTTCCATCAAGTACGTTGCCGTGTGGTGGCAGCAGGGAGGTCTAGATGAAATAATGATTTCAAATTAGTTCCTCTTGGCATACTTTCCCATAAACTCTAGTTCCAAAAAATCTTCTGACTCCATTTCAGTGCTCCAGGTGCATTTCTTGCTTAGCTGGCCATTTCTGTCTTTTTGTTGCAGCACTACAGGTGTAGTCACTGTTTCATGTCTGCCGTCTAGCCTGATTTTAACAATCCCTTTCCCTCACCACCATTTTACTGCTTCCAAATCACCTTTGTCACTTCATAATCTTACTTGTTTCTCCAATTAAATAACTGGAAAGAGCTTTTAATGTTGTTTTCTGTGAAGGACGAGGGGTTAACTAGAGAATTCTGGTTCTTCTGTGTAGTAGCAGAAGACAGAAATTGCCTTCTCCGTGATGATTTTTGAAGGTAGGTTTTTAAGGAGCTAATGAATATTAATGTGTTGCAGAGACCTTTGTGCAGCTTTGTCTTCCGCATCATTTTCCTTCATTCTTTTTTTTTGTGGATCATAGGCATGTATTGGCTTAAGACCTTGCAAGCTGTGGAATCTCAGCACTATGTTCACTGCATGGTATAAACATCTCTCTAAGGCATTTCTTCCCGATTCTACTTTGGCCTCAAGTAGTTCTTACCTAAAGGTCCTGTTTAACCTCCTCCCTGGGGGGCTGAGAATGTCTTAGAGGTTCGTTTATGCAGCCTGACCTTGTATCCCAAAGCAAAAACCATGCAAATCCAAAAGATACAGTTCTTAAAAAAAGATTTGCTGTATTACGACGGCAGTTAACAAGGTTTAGAGGAGCACTCCTGGTAGAAGAGCAGCTGCCATTCCACTGACCTTGCTGTCAAGATAAAAGGGGCAGTCAGCTGTTAGATTATTGGGCTACTTTGTCTTGGTTCACTCCTAGGCCCAGCAAGTTAGGAAAAATCATGCGTATTGGATAACATCCAGGCAAGTCAGTGTATTCTGTCTCTGATTGTTGCTTCTTTCTCCCTGAGCCAGTTGCCTCTAGAACATTTGGATCACATCCAGATCTGGAGAGTGACTGTTGGAGAGGGTCTGGTGCTCTGGAACCTGTCCAAGAATGGGGAAGGGCTCTGTGTGGTGAGCCTGATTTCTCCCTGAGCCGGTGCCTAATGCTCTGGATTGATTCCAGGCATGGGCAAGCAGCCCTTGTATGGCAGCCAGAGACAGCACTGCGGCCTTGACACTCCTTCAGTGCAGACTCACAGTTGCACAGTAATGAACTCCACAAAGGTCAGCTGCCTGAACCTCCCTCCTTTCCTCCCGAGTTCCAACTCCATGGCTTGCCTGTCTGGTTTTCACATGCAATTGCTTGACCTTCTCCACTGTATGAGGGGGTGTTATCAGCCAAGAGGTAGGCTGGCTGGGTTGCAATCTAATTGGTATACTGATAATCAGAAGGGCATTGATTTCTGCATCACATTTGAGCTCGTGGGTAATTGCCAGCTATACATAAACATGGATGCTACTTTACTCACATGCACACCTCCAATGCTATTAGCTGCTTTTTGTATGTGTCACATTGTCAGCTTTTTTTTTTTTTTTACCCAAAGCTCACTGACTGGTAAGGAGGGTTTTATACAAGCTACATCAAAGTGTTAACCTTTCTAAATAAATCAGCTGCCGCTGGGCCTCACTTGTGCTGTGGGAGAAGGGAAGAAAGGAATTCATTATTTCAAGCTTTGCTTTTTCGACAGTGCACATTAAGAATGAGAACTGTGGCTCAGTGAAATTAAATTTTAATTTTATCTGAAGTTCCTCTTTTGAACACCTTACTGAACTCCTGGAGTTCATTCTCTCAGCTCAGAATCTCATGACAGGGAGAGTGAGTACGCCAAGTGCTTGGACATTCCCATGCATGTCTTGAAAGACGACATGAGCATCATTTGTCCATGAACTTTTGCCTCCACAACTTTGCCATTAGAACAACTACTAACTAACTAAATGAATAAATACCACTTTACCTGCAGCTAGCTTAACTGTAGCTCTGCCTTTTGCTGATGAAATCCAGCTGTGTCAAGAACTAGATTCCTGTGGCTGATCACGTAGTATCAATACCAATTTCATTATCTGAGTCATTTTCACTGAATACTGTCTGAGTGGCAGTGTGGTGACCTGTATGAAAATCTGTGGGTCCAAATCCTAAGGGATGGTGTGGTGTCCCAAAGCTGTCATTGTATTTGATCATGCTTGGCCACTTTGCAGTTTTCAGAGTCAGGAAGAGGACTGAACATGAGGTGAGCAAGCTCCTTTCCCACTGCTGGAAGTTTGAAAGAGCTGAATTGGGTGTGGGTAGCTCTGCCCTTGTGGGTTCCTCTCTAGCTGGGCTCTGTCATTTTGTGCTGGTTGTTTAACCGATGCTTGTTGTTACTTGGATTTGCTTTCAAGAACTACTTACCATTGTACTTGTGTCCATTTTAGTCCACAAACCCAGAGCTCTGGGTGCTGCTGTTGTGGGCTGCTGAATATGTTCCCCAGAATGTGAGGAGAGCGTTGGCAGACCAAGGCAATGGAACCTTCCTGCATATTACTGGTTTCACTTTGTTTTTCAGGTTAGGCTGTTGAGATAAAAAGCGGTGGACATTCATGACTGAATGGAATCTCTCCCACTGTGCAGCCATGCCCCCTCTCGACGTGCCTGCCAATGCCAGCACTTCCTTCATCAATTCTTACATCACACTCAAGACCGATGACATCACAGAATTTGACCAAGGAGTCTGAACCAGCTGTTTCCATGGACACAATCTCCATAGTGACAGTGGGAAGGGGAGGGGGAAAAAGGAAACAGGTGGGGGGAACTAAAGAGGGAGGGATAAATATATATATATATAAAGATCTATTTTTTAGTCTTGAAAGACTTTGTTTTAAATGAAAGGTGCGCTATCCCTTTTGATGCTTTTGATTAAAATTAACGAAAACCCAGATAAATTTAAAAAGAACAAATTTGTAGCTGAAGTAAATACTAGATCCAAAATCAGGCAAGGCTTATGGAGCCTAACGTTTGGCAGGAAAGAACAGTGGTACTGGGAGCAGTCTGGACTGGATTTGTCTCCCTTCCTCTTGCCTTCTTTCTTTCTCACAACATCCAAGGAAGTCCAATTTTAAAAGGAAAACAAAATCACAGGATAACTTGTTTGTAGGGTATGGGAGGAAGGTTTGAACGGATGCAGGTGGTGGGGCGTTTTTCCTTTGTGTGTGTGGGATAGGGAGGTCATAGTTTTAAGAAACACTGTGTCGATAGTAGGAGCTTGATAAACATCTGAAGGCCCTTAGGTCACCTGGCTCACAAAGTAAGAGGAAACTGCCGTTTGCTTAGCTCATGCACACAAGTGTACACTTCCTACATGTGCTAACTACCTGTTGGAGAAAGGAGCAGCTGCCCTCTGCAGCACGCAGCCCAGGCTGTAGCCAGGAGCTGCCTTTGGCACTGGGGGCAGCGGGGAGGTGTGCTTTACCTGCCAGACTGGGGAGCTGGGAAGGAAGTCTGAATGCTGGTGGAACCAGTGTGTTTTCAGAGTGGTCACAAAATCCACTTAGCCCTTTTTTTGTTTTATGTTTTGCTTTTCCAGGAGGAGGAAGAAGGAATGTCAGTGCAACAGGCTACACGATGTGGTTATTTGTTGTGGGTTTCTTTGTAAATTATGTAACTGTAAACATTTGGGTTTAAGAAACATAAAACAAAAAAAAAAAAAAAAAAAACCCACAGTTTTTTTCTTATTAAGGCCTTAAGAAAGGGGTTAGTGCATCTTTCAGGGGTCACTCTGCCATGGGAATAAAATAGCTGTTTCACAAACAGTTTTATATAAAAAAAGCTTAAAAAAAACACACAAAAAAAACTAATAAACTTCATTTTAACCTTATCTCCTTTTGTTTTGTGCGAACTTGATTTGTTTAAAAGGACAGAGACACTATCTGCTGCTTTTTTGTTTCTTTGCCTTCATCAGTTCTGCCTTCAGCGATGACCTTCTGAACTGGCCCAGCAAGAGGAAGACCGCAAAAGCTTTTTAAAATAAAAACTTAGAATTTGTTTGATGCTCCAAGATAACAAGCCAATGACTGGATAAACTTTGTGTTTGCGTGAGATGGTATTTCACCGATTCACTGACTTCTTTCACTCATAGGATGGTGGCATATCCTAGTGATAACAGCGTGGTGTTTACTGGGAAGTCACTATAGATAGGGATCTAACCAGCATGATTTGGATAAAAAAAGTGGGGTTGATATTGTGGGGAGGGAAGAATTATTTTAAAAAGTTATGTACTGGATGCTTGCTCAGCTACTCGCATTTTGGAGTATTCAGCACATAAGAAATAGTATCTATGATAGCTCATATTAAGATATCTATTTTAACTCTATTTTTAAAAGATCGATTTAAAGATTTGGGAGATCATTTGGCAGTTATTTATTTCTAGAAGTTGCTACTTCTGCTGACAAGAATTTGGAAAGCAAGGGCAGTCTTCTGCTCGCTCCTTTCCCAGTAGCAGCTACTGACGTTAGTATGTCCTTCTACATTAAGAAATAGACCTGTTGTGATAAATGTCACTAATGTGTCCTGAACTGGTGCTGAAAATATTTAACTGCTGGTGTAGTCAGAAAAATCATTTTTAGCATAGTTAATGTGATTGAGTAAATGACTTCTTTTCAACTGAATAAAAAAAATTTTTTTTTTCCTAGTGTCTGTTCTATTCTACCTGTTTTGAAAAACAAAACAAAATACATAAATGGAGTTATTTCATTGAGGAATCAGCTTTGTGGTACTACACCAGCAGCAGGAGACTGGTAAAACTGGTGGAATTTATGTTTTTGGCTCTTCGGGGTGGTGTTACAGCCGAGGAAGGTTTTGGGGTCGGTGGGAGCCGGGAGTCTCGGAGGGTTTTCCTATTGCTCCTCTTGGCAGTAGCTCCTTGTGCACCACGGATGAAGAGCAGCAGAAGTCATATACATCCAAAGAACAAACGGTACCACACTGGACTCCAATTGGGAAGTGTTTTGAACCCATCTCATTAGCTTCCACGTGGCCCTTTGTCAGTACTGCTGTCAGAAGTAAGGGCCGTGTTCCCCCCAGCAGAGGCCCTACGAGTCGACCATCTGCACGGCAGTTGGAGCCTTTACAGGAAACAGAGCTGCAACGATTCTCTAAAACCAAGCTGGAAGGAATCTTAAAATAATGTTTAATGCCTTCTTGGGAGGACTTGGATACGATCCAGAGCAGTCATAAAATCCACTTGGAAATAAAAATCTCTTGGATCAGAAGCTATAAAGTGCCTAAGTGGATTCTGAAAGCCATGAACAAAATGTTTACGAGCTCTATTCTGCAAAAGCGATGGGAGCCTGATGCCATGGATATGTTGGAGTTGAAAGAAAGGGAGAAAGATTTGGAAATCTTGGCTAATTTAGAATTTGTGAAGCAGGAATGACCTGCAGCAGAACTGTAAAATGTGGAGATTGTATCAAGAAGAAAATCAGCAACCTGCAAGCAGCTTGGGAATTACCTGCTTGGATGAGGAAATGAACTAGTGGGAGTTTGGATAAAGCAGCTCGTTTTCCAAATGTTTCTCCAAATGATCTCTACAATGAGAGAAACTAGCACCAGCTTACTGGGAAATGATGGTTCGACAGCATTTCCAAAGTGAGTAGTTGTTTAAAAATGAACATTTTGACAGCTAACTGGAGTAAACCAACACTGCTGAACATGGTCAAAGAAAAGGATGTGGGATTTTCTGTGTTGTTTTTTTTTTCCCCCCCCCCCTAAAAGGATGTGCAACAGATGAAGTATGCAAAGGATTTCTATAAATATGAGCTGATGAGGGTTCAGCTGGAGGCCAGGAGGATAAAACTCCTGCAGGGATTGATGGTCGATGTAGGATACATACAACACGCATATTGTGAAACCAGGAGCTGCTGATTTATTCATCGTGGACTTTCATAGCAAATGACATCTACACTTGGAAATCCAAGGCACAGTCTAACGTGGAGTTTATAATGAGATTGTGCACCACAGAAGGAAGGCTGCAGAAGGTGATGGTCATCTCTGCTCAGCAGAGTAAACGACAGTGCAATGACTGGGGATTTTATCTGGGTTTGTGATGCTCTTGAACCTTTGGAATTAGAACACACTAGCTAACACCAAGCTCAAGAAGTACTTTGAGTGGGACATGAGAGGGTGGGGAAGAGAGCTGTGAAGGTAATGGGCAGCTCTGGTGTTGTGACTGTTTAATACACTGTACAGTCTGTAATCATTGAATCATTAAGTCAGGAAAAGACCACAAAGACCATTTAGTCCAACTGTCAATCCACTGCTACCATGCCCCACTAGGTGTACATAATAAAATGTACATAACTAATGTGCATAACTGTAGAGACAGCAGGGGGAAAGCATTCTGGGACAGTCTGGTTAATAACTCACCAGTAATTGCATATGGTATCCTGAGTGCAGTGGTTGTCTTGGGCACAGCGAAGTACTTGCTTAGCGGGGCATGGGTGGTTTGTCTGATCTTTGTGCCAGCTTACCAGACTGGACAGAAAAGCAAGCCTCCATCTAAAAGTGTAGAAAGCTGAATGCAGATACCAGATCTTCAGATCTACAGGCTGGCTGTGTGGTTGAGGATAAATGGATCAATTATAATTGGTCTGAATTTTACTATTATTAACAATTAAAAGTTTTGTGAAAAAAGCAGGTGTACGGGTAATCCAGGTTTAGTTATAGGTCTAGAAAATACCAGGGTGTGGTTATTCTTTGAGGTTCTGCTGACCTTCCTGTGAGAAGCTGAAAGTGTTGCAACCTGAGGGTTGGGTTAGAATTCTCTGTATTGTGGAACAAGGTGAAATTCTTATTGGTCTGCGGTAGTGAACTTGTAACGAACATCTTGGGTTTGGTTTTGTCTGAGAGCTACTACAGCGTACTGTGAACAAGGTAATTCAGCCAGTTAAGCAGAAGACAGAAGTAACTCCTGGAATGTTGCAGGAGACCAGCAGCTCATAAGCACTTTCTGTGCCAGTTTGATACGCATCACTGAAGAATCGTTTCCAGAGTGATGAGATTCTACTTACAGTCTAAAGATCAATGGAACAGTTGCAGACAATACAGTTGTACACAGATGTTTATTTATTTCTCTGCCTGTAGATTTGGTCAGATGCAAAAGTTTCACTTTGCTGTCCTACTGAAAATGTACCAGGTGGCTACTTAGTCTTTTTGTGGGATTTCATTTCTTAAGTGGAACCAATATGCCAGTTTGCACTTCCACCGAAAGGGGCCTGAACTGAAGGGAAGCACTGCTTGTCTGCTCACTTCTTTCATGAGGCCATGTTCACAGCTGAGATTGCTTCCCTTTCTTCATTGATCTGGAGAGGTTTCTTGTAGTCCATTGCTTAACTCAGTTTCACTGCTGTGGTTTCAAGATTTTGGCCTTCAGAAATGCTAATGCTGCTCCACAGCCATAGAGAAAATTATTAAGAACTCTTCAGCCCATAGCAAACCTCCTGTGATGGAAATCTTCCACTTTAGCTGGGGGATCAGGACTCAAACTGGTGAGATACTCATCTGCTTGACAAAACCCATACACACTTACTCCTGTACTGTACATGAATATATGCAGTTTATCTGCCAGTGCTGCATGCAGTCCATCACTGGCTTTTGGCTTGAAACTATACCTGCTAATAACCAAACCCCGAGATCACAGGGCATGGGGATCTGTGCTGGCTGTGAGACGTACCATGACAGTGGTTCCCTGAATTGTATTGAAATGACTTCAGTCTCACATCTTTCAGTGGGGAGCAGCAAAAATGTCCAAGATATCTGAGAGGGAGCTGGGAGTCATTCTGCTAGAGAGAAGCACAGCATTATATAGGTATGTCTGCACTACATAGCAAATGGATTCCCCTGGGCTGACACTAATTGATCAAAGAAGTGTCACCACATTGAGTGGTTTTATTAAAAAAGGATAAGCCCTTATGTACACTTTATAGCATTCATAGTAGGGAAACAGAATTGGACTTCCATCACCAGGAATATATTTCTGTCTCTAGAGTGGTGACATCACTTGATTCTTACACACAAGAGGTTATTTTGAGGATGTTTTGGTGCATCCATTGGCATTACCATGAACAGTTATTATATTAAGCTGACTGTGGGTCATATGACTGTCCTTCCATTTGTAGTCAGCAAGAAGAAGCACGGGAAAGCAGACTAAATCTGTTTTTCAAGTGTTGTATGAGGAAACTAGGAATTGCAAGTGGAAACGGGTCTAAAAATGAGTCAAGACTGTGTAGAAGGAGAAAGAAACTACAGTTTAACATAACCCATCTTTGTGTAATGTCTTGGCTGCATGGAGCCGAGGTAAGGACGTGGCTGTATGAAAAGGGTGTTAGAGTCTGGCTGCTCAGCGGGTGCCTTGTTTTGCTAAAACTTCTGAGGAGAAACTGCCAAGTGTCCAGGTGATGAATGGCAAAACCATAACCAACCATTTGGAAAAGAATCCGGAGAGCTGCACTCAGCAGGAAAATAAGTACGGCTGATGGAGGCATGTCCAGTAAGCAGGAGCAGAGGGCAAACGGAATGAAGCCATTTTGCATACTCTAACCTGTTTGCCAGGGCTGTCTATGGTTCTCCTCCAACTGTGCAACGTTCCTGGCTTCATTGGATAAGAAGACACACTGGGAGAGGAACCAGCTCCCGCAGTTGTGACTGCAGCTGCAGTCTTGAAAAGGGCACTGATGGCTGCTGTCACCACGGCCTACTGTTGCTGCTACAGAACTCACTTTTACTGAAAGCAAGAGCAGCGTGTTGTCACAAGATCCAAAAGGACTTGAAAAAGATGCCGCTACAGCAGATAAATAAGCATTCCTTATTAGAAGTATGAAGAAGTATAAGAAGTATTTCTTAAAAAGGCTCTGCTGTCTGGATTATCCAAGTTTGTTTGTTCTTCTCAGAGCACAGATACGTTATCTTGCTCTTATGAAACCAGTTTATAGCAGCCCACAATCAGTGCAGAAAAGGAAGGCTGATTCCACATCTGCTAAGGTCAAGGTCTGTGCTGAGCTGTGCAATGGGGCACTGAGGTAGGCACAGGAAAACCAAAAGAATGTGTGCCTCTGTGGGGCCACGGAATCCATGTGCTGTTCTGGTGAAAAGTGTTGGGTTTCCAGAGCTTCATGTAAGCTTATTAAAAGGGCTGATTGTGCTGGAGAGAGAGACTCTAAATACCAATTCTGGAGAAAGAGAGATTTGCCCCTTAATTCTTTTCAGCATTTATTGGAGTTGCTTGGGATCTGAGAGTAGCTGATCAAAACCAAGAGCAAACAAAAACTATTCCTAAGCTGTAGTCAAGTGCTTAATGAAATACCTGGGAGAGTTTTCTTTTATAGTCCTTCAGGATGCAAAGCAAAGGAACAGCTGGGCTGTTCTGAGCAGCATCTTCCCCTAGCAATTTGCAAAAGCCCTCTGACCTTCCTCTTTCTTCACTAAGTGCGTCAAGGAAATACAGCTTCACTTTTTAAGAATACATGAACTCCTGATGTGTAAGCTTATACCTCCATCTGTAAATGTATCAGCTTAGGTGTTCAACAGCTGGGGAAAATTGAGTAATGTTTTTGCTCCTGTGTGGATGGTCGGAGTCTATTTATATGGGTTAAAATGTAACTCAGAATGCACAGGAGACAGGTGGACAACTTGAATGCTACCATTCGAGGTTTCCCACAAGGCACTGTGCCTCCGCGCAAGGAAACAGCCAGCGACTCTTCCTTGCAGTCAGAAGTCTCTACCAACAACTCACTACATCCTGAGCACCAGGCCTTGAAATAAGCTTCGAGTAGCTGTACAGCACAGGGCACCTTAAAGAGGAGAGAAGCAACCAGCTCTCATGTTTCCCTTTGTTTTCCTTGGTGCACTGACTGTTGGGATTTGAGTTGCACCTCCGCCTTCATGGCTCACACTGCTTCATTTGTCAGAGAACACAGGTGCTCCTGGGAATTTGGAAAATCCCAGGAGACTGTGACTCAAAAAGCTTTGAAGAGTTCCCACAAGGTGTAAGCAGACTGAGTCATTATTATCCTTTCCACTGACAGTGGAGTCCTCCGGGGACTCCATTGCTGCACTTCCCAATCTTCCATTACTTCCAGGTAATCTGTTCATTGCACACTTGTGTTGCTTGCAGCCGTCTTATCCTATTGTTCAGAATTCACTTCTGAGGTACTCGGATGATGTATTCTGGAGCTGTAGCCCAAAGGGTTTGAGACACAGGAGCTCACGTTTCCCAGCTCTCCCTCCCACCCTTAAATTCCCTGCACCTCCAAGCTCACCAGCACTCACCATCCCTGGTGACTGCTGGCTACACAAGTGTGGTAATGCTTCAGCAACTTCAGTAATTGGGTTTTTGGCCTATCAGCTGTTCAGCTATTCTCAGTACTCAGTAGTATTCAGTCTGGAGTTCTGGAATTGTTCTGGAATTGTTCTTTCTCCACCCCCCCATACTGAGGAAAATCTCCATTATCTCCTTTGCTTCACAAGACAAAGAGGTCCATGCAGCTTGTGACTGTTCTCTCATCCTGTTGCCATTTGATTTGGAGAGACCCCTTCTCCCTCCACCCTTCTGTGTTGCAGTGCAGCGGTACAAACGGGGAAGGGTCACATCCCTCAGCTCCTCCTTTTGTACAAACTGTTACCGGGAGGGGTGAGTTAATTCCTCTTGGATAGCTTTTCCTATAGCACCTCTTTCTCAAATAAAAGCTCTGTCATTGCCTTCGTTTGCTCTACACGTGGCACGTCAGGGCAGTCAGACGGCACAGATTCTTGAAAATATTCAGCACGGTTTTAATCCTGAACTGCGACACATCTTCAGAGCCTGAGTGCCACCACCCAGTGCAGGCAGGGCTGCTCAAGCAGCAGTGGGAGGTTACTCTGAACCCCAAACTGCACCTCATTCCCTCCTGCAGACAGGAGTCAGCACAGACCATGGCCTGCATAAAGCCTGCAGTGGAAAGTTATCAAAGCAGACTGCACAGAACCACAGGATGTCTGAGGTGGGCTGGGACCTCTGGGTCCATCTGCTCCAACCCCTGCCCCCACAGGGCCACCAAGAGCAGGGTGCCCACTGCCATGTCCAGACAGTTGCTGAGCAACCCCCACTTTTTCCTGCTTTCCAGCAAACCCGATATTTGGTACTTTGGACTTTGGTATAAGCAATAACGAGTACAGAGCAATTAAGGACGTGCCTGAGGATATCCATTTTCCTGGATATGACCCAGTGTGCCTTATCTCTAAGCAATGCAGTGGAAAGCTCCTGGAAGGAGTCAGCAAACACCCAGCTGTGCTGGTACTTAATAGGTGCAAGGACTAATATTTGTCATCTCTGGATGGAGCATGGTTTTCAAAATCTCCAAATTCTAGTGTTTCAAGTAAGCCAGCATCTCCTACAGTGCTATTATTGCCCAAACGTTTGTTTTACCTGCCCAAGTGCTCTGACCTGAGGCTGGAGATGCACAGATGCTGCTGCCGGAGCTGCTGAGGTGTAAGTAACCAGCTCATCCGGAATGGAATTCCAACATGCAATTTGCTGAACAATTCCTGTTAAGAAATTCCATGCATTTTCATCACTTCTAATTCCCCTTTCACTCCACATGCTCCCACAGGTATTAATCCAACTGTGAGCATTGCTGAGCCAGTGTTTCACACCCAAACAGTTATTCATGGTTTTCCTGTTGATAAATAAATATACATTCTGATTTCCAGTGCATATTTGGATCTGTGAAGCATAAACATCATCACTGGAGGCATCAAACACAAACAACCTGTTTTTGCTGTGGTCGTAAAGCACAATAATCTTCTGTGTTTCCAATGCACTGATAAATACTCCTAAATGTTTGCCATTATTTTGCTGACATAAAAAACACAGATAAAAACGTGAAAAAATCACTAATGAGCTCGACACTGTGTTATTCATGAAAAGAACATAATAACAAATTCTGTACTCTAATGCTGAGTACTTGGTGCCTTTGGAAATGACTGCCATGGGTTATAGACCACCAAAATTGCATGCTTGTTTGTTTTAATTTGCAGTGTGTTCATAATCATTTCGGCAAAAAAAAGCAGGGAAAAATGCATGCTTCACTTTCTCTGTTGAAGTGCTACATTATTTGAGGTGTGCTTGCAGAATCAAGATGGTTCTTCAGACCATCTTCTGCTTATTTAATGGGCCACTAGTGAAGGGCAGAGCCGAGGAGCTTGTGAACTGATGTCAGAGCAGCCCCTGGTGTGCAGCCTACCAGCACTGGGCACAGCTTCTTTGTCAGCTCAGCCTGCTCTGCAGATACCTGCACCTTTGCAGACAACAGTCTGAGCATGCAGTCTTCTCCTTTACGTTCTTCTTGTGTTTCTCCCTCAGTTGCTGGTTTTTTGCATCCAGTTATTCATTCTCACTCATGAATCTAATCAGAGTGACAGTAGGCAGTGTGATGTTTCCCAGAACATCTTCAGAGTTGGAGTAATCGCATCCTTGATGCCTGCAGGAAGGCTACATGAATGGGTCATCAGTTGTACCCTTCCTAAGGCTCAGAGATCTACAGCAGTAAGTGGTCAGGAAGTAATGCTTCTGGCAGCTCATCTTTCTGGTGCAGCTCTGAAAGCTTTCCTGGGAACAAAGCACATTCAGAATTTGTTTGGATTCATAAACACCCAAACTGGGGGCCTAACACTGAGCAAGCTAGCATTCCCAATACCTGTTTGCCAACCTTCCTCTTTCCTCTGCAATCATGATGGTATCAGTCCTCGTGATTGTACTTTGCACCTAGATTTGCAGGTGCTTTATTACTGCAGGGCCAATGGCCCCATTACATACATTTTACAAGAGCTGTAACAAACTGACATGCCAGCCTGCTGCTTGCTTGCCTCCAAGTCACAGCTCAAGTCGATGCTGGAAACAAATCACAGTTCTTCCATCTTCTCAACTGCTAAACGCATATTTAATCACCTCGTTATTTTCAAAGGTTCCCACTGATCTTATGCTTTAGGAAAGCAGGATGAGTTTTCCCATATGGATATAAATGCTTTGCTTACAAGAAAATTAATAACGGGATTTTAGCCAGTAACTCTGTCCAAAATTCCTGTTGGTGCTCCTGCACAGCTGAGAAAAACCACACGGTACAAGCAGTAATCCAAAAATGAGAAGATGTGCAATATATTCACTGCTCTTGGGAATCTTAGAGAAGAAACCCAAATCAGCAGCTGGGACAGAACCAGTGAGGCTGCATGGGCTGTGTGATCCCTACTGGGCTCCTCAGCATTCTACAGCAAGAAGCTGCCCTTTGTGGCTGGGAGATGGGACCCAGGACATGCTCCTGTTTTGGTACCAAGCTCAGAGCCATTGCTCCTTGAGAGAAAGGGATGGGATGGGCAGCAGAAGCAGAGCGCCACCAGGACTTGCTTTGGTTACAGGTGAGCTGCTGGGATGGGTACAGGGAAAAGGAATTTAAAGAAGAGCCTCAAGAACAGATTTTGGTCCAATGTGGGAAGGCTGGCAGTAAGTCACTGTGAAAAACTTGGCTGTTTCAGGTTACTGTTCTTGGCTATGTTTCAGGCTATTATTCTTGGATATTAAGCATGTGATGGCGCTGTATAATTGCACAAGCTGGAGTTTTCATCAACCCTGACAAATCTGTGCCAACTCTGTGATCCAGCCAGGAGCTGGGCATGCGGCGTGCGGCTGTTAAGGGCAGAGGGAGCCTCTCACCCTGCTGCTAGGCTTTTCTTGTTAGGTCCCAACACTTAGGTGGTCATTTTGAATTACATCCCATTTTGTCCTATGGTTATGTCTCAGGGGGATGCTCTGAGTACTAAAGATTGCTGGCTCCATACAGACACTGCTGACATCTGTGGAAAAGCCCAACAAAAGCAGAGTGTGAGCAGCAGGCAGAAAACTAGGTTTTGAATCTACTGAGTCAAAGCTCTTTCTCCTAAGACCTTTCTGTAGAGCTGTTCAAAATATGGTGGGTGCTTAGAAGTCAACAAACGCTCAAACTTCTCTGCAAACAAACCTTTGTCCCATCATCCAGATAATTAATAAATATGTTAAACATGTGTGGATATCTAAGGGATGTCATTAGTGATCAGCCAGCAGCTGAACTCTGTGCTGCTGATTCCAGCTCTTTGAAACCCACAGACTAAATGCTCTTCCACCCACCTTATCATCCACCTTGTCAGTCTTTATCACACTGGTTTAGCTACAAGGGTACTGCAGGAAATGGTATCAAAGGCTTTGTCAAAGTCACACTTGTCCAACCCACAGCCAGTGAGCTACATGCAGCCCAGCATCATCCAAAGTGTAGCCCTCTCCTTCCCTGACACTTAAATGTGGTGGCTCTTCTTTGTCCCGTGGCCCTGGGCACACGCCCATAGCTCAGCAACTCCAAAACGATCGGTGTGCTACAAATGCTGTGCCAACTGAAAGACACCAAGCTGACACCAAGCTGAGTGGAACAGTTGACATGATGGAAGGAAGGGATGCCATTCTGTGGGACCTCAACAGACTTGAAAGGTGGACCCGAGTGAACTTAATGAAATTCTACACAACGAAGTGCAAGACTGCATTTGGGCTGGAGGAATCCCAGGCATTTACACAGACTGGAAGGAGCGGTCCTTGAGAGCAGTCCTGCAGAGAAGGACCTGGGGGTCCTGATGGATGAAAAACTGAACATGAGCCCGTAGTGTGCTCTTGCTGCTCAGAAAGCAAATGGTATCCTGGGCTCTATCTGAAGAGGGGTGGCCAGCAGGGACAGGGAAGTGACTGTGCCTCTCTACTCTGCTCTTGTGAGGCCCCACCTGCAGTACTGTGTCTAGATCTTACAAAAAAGACACACAGCTGTTGGAGAGGGTCCAGAGGAGAGCCACAAAGATGATCAAGAAGACAGGCTGAGGGAGCTGGGCTTGTTCAGCCTGGAGAAAAGAAGGCTGTGGGGTGACCTCATGGCAGCCTTCCAGCATATAAAGGGAGCCTACAAACAGAAAGGGAGTAAACTCTTTGAAAGGGTAGATAACAGCAGGACAAGGGGAAATGGTCTTAAGTTGAAGGAGGGAAAATTTAGGTTGGATGTCAGGGAAAGTTCTTTACTATGAGACTGGTGAGGTGCTGGAACAGGCTGCCCAGAGAGGCTGTGGATGCCCCATCCCTGGAGGTGTTCAAGGCCAGGTTGGATGGGGCCCTGGGCAGCCTGGTCTAGTATTTAATGGGGAGGTTGGTGGCCCTGCATGTAGCAGGGGGGTTGGAGATTCAGTATCCTTGAGGTCTCCCTTCCAATCGGAGCCATTCTGTGATTCTGTGAAAGCAGGGCACAGGGAGGGCTGTGCTGTGCAGTGCTGACTCAAGTGATGCCAAACAATTGCATGCACCTTGACCCAGGTGCAAAATCTTGCACTTAGCTTTGTTGACCCTCACGAGTGTCTCCTGATGCCACTTCTCCAGGCTGTCTAGGTCTCTCTGGATGGCATCCTGTTCTTTGGGCATGTCAACCATAACCCACAGCTTGGAGCTGCAAGATTGGAAAAAAAAAAAAAAGTCAATTTACACTTGCAAGATCATTTTCAGTTGATATAAATACATTCCAACTCTAAGGATTCTATGACTTTATGACATGCACCCTTTCAAATGTGAGTTGTAATCAGACATTCAACTCTAAATCTGATCATGTCTTCTTACCAGACTTTCATAATCCCTATCTTAGCAGAGAAAATATCCCTCCCTTCACAATCACACCGTATTCGTGTCATCACTTTTTGACAGTACACACACTTTGAACAATTATTTTTGAGGATAAAGTGCAGGAAGAGCAAAATTACATCAAAAATCTCTGATGAACACACTGAGACCTCACTAAGTGGTTGAACAAAGATTGTTATTCCCAGAAATATAAGTGATTTTGAAGTCTCAGGCCACTGTATTAAGATTACTTCTGTGAAGTAAGCGCTTTCTGTAAGGAAAGGCGTCACCCAACCAAAGCTTTCAAAACTTCCACTGGAATAAATGCTCAGCCCTGCAAGCAGAAATCTGAACAGCCCGTGCTTAGGCTGTGCATCTCCCCTGACTTGTTTGTACGAGCAATAAGACAACAGAATTAAACTCTTTCAAAACCTGTGTATGCAGCAGGACTGGACTGCTTTGTGCACTTCAATCCTACCTTGGCTGTGGAACAGGACAGGCAAATACCTGTACATCACGCAGCCTTATCCCACGGCCAGCACAACTGCCTGTGCTCCGTGGTGGCAGGGACAAGGAGGCCTCTGAGCTCCAGATTTGGCAAAGAGTTGGAGGAGGAAAGGAACAGCCCTCATCGCCACTCCCCCAACACTGAGCTGATCAGAGGAGGAGCTCTGGGTCCAGGCCAAATTCCATTTAAAAGCCAGCAACAACAGGGAGAGGGGGGCAGGAGGCAGAAGAGAAGGACAGAAACAGCGCTGGGTCAAAACAGGAAGACTGAGCAGACAGACTACAGAATGACACTGCTCCTGTGGCTGTCATCTTGGAGCAACATCTCTGTACTGGGAGTTTTTCTGGCCGTCTTTACTGTGCTCCTTGACTTCATGAAGCGCAGAAAGAAGTGGAGCCGTTACCCCCCAGGCCCAGTGTCGCTGCCGTTCGTTGGGACCATGCCACACGTGAACTACAACAACCCCATTCTCTCCTTCCAGAAGGTGAGTAGCAGACCCAGCAAACACCCACAGCACCCTGCGGGTTGGGGAAGTGTGGCCAAAATCAGTAGTGCCAAAAATGACTGCAGCATTGCTATTCAGTCAGGCATTATCTCTTCTCAAAGGAAAAGCACAGCACGGCTTACAGCAGAAATGCCACGGGCTTCTACTTCAGCGTGCAAAATCTAAAGGCTCCTTCTCTAAGACAAAACTGTTTAGCTGTCTGTCCTAAAGATTACCATTTTCAAATCATATCAAACCAGGGTCATTCTCACTTCACTGTCTACTAGTTACCTGACCACTAATTGCTTTTAATGACATATTTCAAGAGCCATTAAAGTACTAATCCCCTTTCAAATCCCACTGCAATAATAATTTAAAAGAGAAAAAAAAAAAAAAAAAAGAAGAAGAGGGATGAAGAGAAGGGAAAAGGGGCAGGGGGGAAGGGGTAGACATAGGAGGAAGATGGGGGAGAGAGAGGAGGAAACTGGATAATAGGAGGAGGGGAAAAAACAGTAGGGAAGAGGAAAAGGACAAGGGAGGGGAGTGAAGGGAAGGGTAGCAGATGGGAGGGGAGAAATTGTAAGGAGAAAAGGAAGACTAGGCAAGACAAGAAAAAGTAAAGACAGTGGAAGAAAAAGACAAAGAGAGAGAGAGAGAGAGGGAGGGAAAGAAGAAAACGGACAAAGGAAGGAAGGAAATTAGAGACAAAACAAAGACAAAGAATACACAGCTGATAAACTCTATCTATGCAATCTCCATTTTGTCAGCAACATGTCCTTTTCAGATCAGCAGAGATGATGGATGTGTGCCAGTTACCAGTGTTTCTAGGAGAGTACATTCCCCTTGGGGAGGAAGCTGACCTGGAACTCCAGTGTGGAGCTACCATTTCCAAGCTTGCTTCTGGGAATTGGGCTTTGGGTAGAAAAAGAAATTACATTACATATCATCGGTATTTCTGTCTAGCAAAAATTAAAGCTACCTAAAATTGCTTAGGTTTTTAAATGAAATTACAAGTGTTGGGAAATAATGGGTTCTTGAGTGCTCAGTCTTTGAAAATCTCTAAACAGGTTGCTGACCTCGTGATGTCACCAAAATATCCACGCAGTGCTCTGGACAAGTTCCTCCAGAATAGCTGTATCTTGCTATCTGCATTGCACCCTGCTGCAGATAGTGGATGACACTGTTCTGAGCTGCTGCACTGCAGAGACAACCAACAGTCAGGGTCAACCTGCAGGACAACCAACGGTCAGCTGGAAGGTCTCCTAATAAAACAGTACAAACCACTGAACAGTCAGGCCTTAAGGAAACATACAGGGATATGTTTTCACATTACTTTCCCACACTATTGTATGTCTGATCATTTTCAGGGCCATGATTTTTTTATCTTCACAGCTTCAGAAGAAGTTTGGGAACATCTTCAGTCTGCAGAACTGCTGGACCAACATAGTAGTGCTGAATGGGTACAAAACTGTGAAGGAAGCCCTGGTCAACAAATCGGAGGACTTTGCTGACCGGCCATACTTCCCAGCATATGAACATCTGGGCTATGGACATAAATCTGAAGGCAAGTCCTCTGCTAACAGACATTTCCTGCAGGCACCGGCACAGGGAGGACTGGCTAGATAATGAGTAGACAGAAGATTTTCCCAGTGTAAAACCACCTTCACATCTCCCTCCAGCCAATATCCTTGTACATCTGCCACTCTTCTGTGGTCACAGAATCAGGTGATCTACCAGCTCTAGTTAGGGCTGTAGTACAGCTCCAGACACTGGCACACGCCTCTTCAGCAGTGTGAGGATACGATCAGTGGTACAACTTGCTTGCCAGGGTGAGAGCGGTCAGTTCCCTCTGCCCAGTGCCCACTGCCACCCTTTGAGCATGTGTTCTTGTCATGACAAAAAGATGGCAACTTTCTTCCAAGAGGACAGGAGAAAGCATCCCTCCACATCAGATCCTCTGCACAAAATGCTACCCAGTTCACGCAAGCTGAGGACACAGTACTGAATAATCTGGAGGAATGTTTCCTTCCGATGCTCTCCTATTGAATTACCCTATTACCACCTTTGCTAGACATGTGTCTGCATTACAAGGTGCAGTACTAAGTTCTTAGAACTGCTGTATGAACAAACCATACACAGTCTTACCTTTTTTTTTTCCTTCCTCTTTCTTCTCCCAGTGTTAACCTCCAAACTCACATTTGTTCATTTCTAGCAAAACCTGCACATCGTACAGCTCAGAGCTCCTGATGTTTCTTGATCATTTTTACTTCCAGGGGTTGTTTTGGCACGGTATGGACACGTCTGGAAGGAGCTAAGGAAATTCACGCTCAGTACCCTGAGGAACTTTGGGATGGGAAAGAAGTCCTTGGAGGAGCGAGTGACTGAGGAAGCAGGATTTCTGTGCTCTGCAGTTAATTCTGAAGGAGGTTTGTCACATGCAGCAGGATGGAGAAAATGTTCTGATAAAAATACCCAAACAACCAAACAGAAAAAGGCAATTAGTGATACAGCTTCTCCTGTTTGCATGCCATGTTTCAAGTTCATCAGAATAATGGTTACTGAACCTGTTGTGCTGCAAAGCCACTTCTACCTTACGCATTGGAGCTACTGTAAGGCTAATCAATTTCGAACAGGAAATAAGTAAAAATAAGCAGAGGTAAAACAACAATAATTTCAGAGCTGGGTAACTAGTACCCATGAAAAGTTAGGTGTAACGGGGTGGAACATGGCGGATGCATTGGTGGAGGTGGTTGTCTTCCTGTACTCTGTCCTTGTGTGGCCCCATCTGGAGTAGTGCATCCAGGGCTGGGGCACCCAGCACAAGAAAGACATGGAGATGTTGGAGTGGGACCAGAGGAAACCATGGGGATGCTCAGAGGGCTGGAGCTCCTTTCTTACAAAGACAGGCTGAGGGAGCACGGTTTGTTCAACCCACAGAGGAGAAGGCTGCAGGGAAACCTCATTGCAGCATTCCAGTATTTGAGGGGAACTTACAATCAGGGAGGAGATTTAACATGATTTGATAGTGATACGACTAGGGGGAGCGGTTTGAAACTGAAAGAGAGGAGAGGAGAGGAAGAAATTCTTTACTCAGAGAGTAGGGAAGCACTGAAACAGGCTGCCAGGAGAAGCAGCCTGTGATTTCATATCAGTACTATCACATATTGCAAAACGAATCCGACAGCTTTCACACAGCATCAACTATAATTAGACTCATGAGGTGCTATCTGTCATGTGACAGAACAATCCTGTAATTCGGCTCTTCTTGAGGACCTGTTGTCCATAAACAATGACCAGCTGAACCATAGTAGAAGATCTTACATTCCTACTATGATGTATTTGTACTTTGAGCACTTTGGGGGCATTTTCTCATGAAAGCAGCAAAGAGGTATGTGTGCATTCTTGTTGTTAGAGCACTGCTGCAGTACCACAGCATGATGTTGCTTAGCCCCTTTGATTGATATCCCTTTCCATTTTCAGGTCGTCCTTTTGATCTGCATCTTCTTGTAAATAATGCAGTCAGCAACGTGATCTGCACCATCACCTATGGAGAGCGTTTTGAGTACGGTGATGAGACGTTCAAGAAGCTGTTAACTTTGTTTGAAAATTCCCTCAATGAAGAAGTAGGACTCCTGGCTGAGGTAACACGGAAGCATATTATGTTCTGTAAGACACTGACCTCAGTCGCTTAAGAGCACTGTGTTTCCATCATATTAATTTTTAGATGGCATAAAACCTTGTCTCTTTCTGTATGGTCCTGGCCTGCCAGCTTCTTCATGTGGCGCCCATATTGTTGCGCATCCCTGGACTGCCACAGAAGATCTTTCGAAGCCAAAAGGAATACATAGACTTCACAGAAGTGCTCATAGAGAAGCACAGGGAGACCTGGAACCCTGCTCACACCCGAGACTTCACTGATGCATTTTTAAAGGAAATGGCAAAGGTACGGAGAGATCAACAGACCTGAGGCAATTCCTCTTGTTCTTTAAACTTGTCGATAGAAGTTGGCTTCACTTATACAGTTCTATAAAGACTGTTACAAATTTCCTACCTCATCATTCCACGTCATTCTTGTAGAAATTAGGTGTTCAGCTCTCCATGCTGAGCCCTCCTTGATTATCCTCAAAGATCATATAATCTGCTGTTTCTGTCCCCAACTACCACACTCTTTTTCCACTCAGTGTCTGGCAGCTATCTTTTCAGCCTGCATCGCTTTGCAGGCATATAAGGGGTGGATCTGAGCCTGATCCAATTCCTTCTTGTCACTTTTCTCGGCTGCTCACAGTAAGTGTCAGTGTTCTGCTGAGTTGAGAGCACAAGGCATTCACTATAAAGGTACAGCTTTCACCTCTCAGGATACAGGAATACAGTGGTATCAGCATGATTTAAGCACATCAGTCATACACAGACCACCGCTTGTGTTGTGCTCTACTCTGCCAATGAATTCCTGGTCAGCAAAAATGCTTCTCAGTATTTCTCTGAAAGAAAGTCTTCTCACTCAAAGTGTCTTTGCTCCTGTCACACTCTCGTTTTCACTCTGCAGGGTAATGAGGCTGAAGAGAATGGTTTCAATATACGCAACCTTAGCATGGTGACATCAGACTTGCTTGCAGCAGGTTCTCAAACCACCTCTACCACCCTCCGATGGGCGTTCCTGTTCATGCTTTTGTACCCAGAAATACAGAGTAAGTGAGACGACAAGTAGAGGTGTAGTATGATTCTCTGAACACTCATTTCACTGCAGGGACAGTGCACATCTCACCATATTTTGGGCTTTTTGCAATAAGGAACAGCTTTGGGAATTGTTCTTCTGGGAGAAACCAGGAGAAACACCTCCCCAAACACAGCATCCCCAGACACAGCTGTTCTAGCACAGCTTAGGGAGACCGGTAGGGAACATGCTGAAAAGACTGGAGTTGGAAGGCCATGTTTAGGTTCCCTCTCACTGAAGGCTCCCGGGGGTCTTTCAGTGACCATGGTACCCACCTTCCTGTATTTGGAATAGACACTAAGCTGTTTTAATTCTCAAATGCTGCATTCCACAAGTACTCTTTCAGTCACACTGGGGAGGGGAATGGTAAGAATATCAAATGAGAAGAATTTCATGAAAGGCACTGTGCACAATTAATAGTTGTAGAGATCTTTCTGAGCAATTGAAAAAGTGTATTCCCATTAGTTTCTGCTCCTTTCTGTAACTGCCTTGCTCTCACCCAGTGCCTGCTCAGCTCATGCTGCCAGATTTCCTATATCTTGTACCAGACCCTTCTGATTACTTAAGGAAGCTCTAATTCCTAAGCTGTGCTGCTTTTAGGTAAAGTTCACAAAGAGATTGATAAGGTGATTGGAAGAAACCGACCGCCCACCACGGCAGACCAAGCAAACATGCCCTACACCAATGCCGTCATCCATGAAGTACAACGCTGTGGGGACATTATTCCTATGGGGCTACCTCACATGACATACCGGGACACCGAGCTTCAAGGTTTCTTCATTCCCAAGGTGTGTGTGCCCAGAAAGCCAAGGCAGCATCATTGCTCCAGGGAGAGGCCAGGCCTGCAGTGACCCCACACAACTCTGCAGCTTTGTCCCTCCTGCCCCAAAGCACAGTCGTGGAGAACACTGACCTAGGAAATTTGAAATACGAAGGTCACACACATGGTTGCACTTGTGCTCTGGTTTACACTGCTTATGCAGGAACCAACTGCAGAGGCATCTCAGGAGCCCCCTCTCCTGGCAGTGCTGGCTGTAAGGCACGCCTGAGATGTTTTTTAAGCCACGCAATGACTCCCCGATGTTTAAAACAGGAGCTTTGAGGTTTTCCATGTCCCATGCAAAGGTTGGGCTTTGAGGTCTGTTAGCTTTTCCTTTCCAGCTATAAAATGAGTCCATGGGATATGAGAAGCAGAGGCTGTTTGCAGGCAACACGTTACTGGAAATGTGCAAGTGTTGCACCTCTGTTTTCAGTAAGATCAAGAAGAGCTTGGTGCCTTATTTGAAGCACCTAACAATGACTGCATTAGGTGGCAGAGACAGACTAAAGAGGGACCAGCACTGATCTATCATGCCAAGATGATTCTGCGGTTCTCATGTAAGTTGCTTCCTCTTGTGAACGAGTGCAGGGGACGACAATCATCACCAACTTGACTTCTGTGCTGAAGGATGAGACAGTCTGGAAGAAGCCAAATGAGTTTTATCCCGAACACTTCCTGAATGAGAATGGGGAATTTGTGAGACCAGAGGCCTTCTTGCCCTTCTCTGCAGGTAAATCCAAGGGGAGGGTCTAGCTGCAAGTCTGGTGCATGGCAGGAGCGGTGGTGATGTGCCTCCTGGGAAGTGGAAGTCCAGGGTTGTCCTTTTCCTCATCTTTGCAATTGAGCAGGTGGTAAGACCTGCAGGGACCCTTTCAACCTCAACTGTTCTGTGACTTTGTGCCTGACAGACATGATGCACCAGCTAACTAAATAGTTGTGAGTGCCTCAGCCTTTTTCACGCAGTCAACAACCAGTCCCACTTTCTTCCTTCTCTCCATTCAGTGCAAGGAGGCTTCTGAATTGTGTTTTGCTCCATCTTTTGTCTACACACAAAGGGTGCTCATCCCACAGTGATTTCAGTGTGATTCAATATTCTCTCCCACGGAAATTCCTTCTTGCAGGTCGACGTGCCTGTCTGGGGGAACAACTGGCCAGGATGGAGCTCTTCATCTTCTTCACCACTCTTATGCAGAAGTTCACCTTTGTGATTCCTGAAGATCAGCCCAGGCCACGGGAGGACAGTCAGTTTGCTTTTCTAAACAGCCCACACCCATACCAATTGCAAGCTGTGCCAAGATAAGTGTGCACCGCTTCACTCAGAAACCACCACTAACACTGTCAGAAATGTTGCAGGGCTGTGCCAGGATCTAGTTATCCCAAGTCTGTGCAGATGTCCCCAGCTGTGTAAAGTAAGGATGTAGACCAGTATCCTTAGCTGAGCTTAATTTCAATTTCAGTCCTGTGTATTGAAACACAAAGAGTACCCAGGGTAAGAGATATCGTGTTAGTTCTAAGAGCAAAAAAAGTTTGGAAAATACTGTAAACTGCTGCTGGACACCTCCCTTCCCCACTGGCCACTCTCTGCCTCTAGTGCTCTGCCTCTGCGTGTCATCCAGGTGCCCAGGAGGACTCTGGCTTGATTCCTGCAAAAACAAGGCCCGCATTGTCAAGTGATTTGGCATGTGCTGTTGGTGGGCAGGGTGAGAGCTTCAGCACTTACAAAGTCACATTCCTCTGCAGGACTGCACATGGCTTCAGACTAGTGCTCCTGATCGTGCAGTAAACATAGACTCCATGCACTACTTCATGTATACTGTGTACTGCAGTAAATTGCATACATATACTGCATTACCTTCATTTACAACCCTAAAGAAAGCAAAATGCCTGCCAACTAGGACTCCAGCAGGAGGAAGTACCAAGGAGTACCTAAATTATCAATATGACCTTTCAGCTCCAGAAGCAGGTAGTTTCTAAAAGACAAAAATTCCCACAAATGGATTTCAAGATGATTTCTGGTGCCTCCATTACTACCTGCTATCCAGTTAGCTCGCCAAAACTGCTTTTTCATCATTACTCAAAGTCAGGGAAGGTTTCAAACTCACAGAGTTATATCGCTTGAATGAGCAAGCTGCAGGTGTCACAGGCGGTTTGCTTTTTCTTCCTGCAACATTGCTGACCAGTTGTTTTGCAACATGTTAATCTTGTTCGTGCTGGCAGAAACTTTGGCACGAATGCATAATTGCAACATAAAAGCCTCTGAAACGGTGCACGCATGCTTACATTTCTCTTTCTCATACTAATTTTGGGACCTACGAAATCCCCATTACGTATGTGATTACCTACACTGCTGTTAAGATTTCGGCTTCAGCGGAACTGCACACTGACGGTTTTCACCTACAAGACAATCTGACAAAATAAATGATCTGGAAGGGCTGTCCTGCCTTGTGGCTGTCTGACCGTCCTGCCCTGTACCCACCTCGCGTACTCACGTGCCATTCCTCTCCTCGCCGCCAGCACCCGCAGTTCCTTCCAGTCCTTTCAGTGTTACCTTTCAGGTCCCTTCAGCACCACTGAACTGAAGGTGGCCGTTTCCATAAAGCAGCCAGCGCGCAGCCGTGCTTTGGAGGAGCGTTCAGAGACCTAAACTGAAGGGTCCCAGCAGCCTCGTGTCTGCATACGGGTATATAATGGGCCGTTCGAACGACGCAATCGCCGAACAGCCGAGGTTGCAGCTTCCGCACACATCGGGGCACCGAGTCCAACCCCTGGCCGCATCCGGCACGGAAGCCGATCAGATGGTGCCGCTGAGCGCTGCCCAAGTCCGGGCAGGACGAGCGGGCCGCGACGCCGCCGCGCTCCTCCGAAGGCCGCAGCCCTGTCTAGGAGAGCCGTCCCGCCCTGCCCCCGCCCCGCCGGTCCCCACGGTCTCCTCACGCCCGCCGGGCTCAACCGCCAGGAGGAGCTGACGGCCGCCGCCCGGCGAAAATGGGCCCCGCCCACTCGCTATTCCTCCTCCCGCACTCCCTGCGCCGATTGGTCGCCTCTACACCAGTCAGGCCGGGCACGCTGGAGAGACAGCGCGGCGGGCCAATAGAAATGCGAGCGCTTTGTCAGGGGCGGTGGGGGCGGGCGTGCCGCGAGCCGCGGTGCGGGACGGGGCGGCCGCGGCAGGATGGCGGTGGCGGGCAGAGGGGCTGCGGCCGTGAAGCCCATCTTCAGCCGGGACCTGGGCGAGGCCAAGCGGCGCGTGAGGGAGCTGTACCGCGCCTGGTACCGCGAGGTGCCCAACGCGGGTGAGGGCCCGGCGCCGGCCGCGCGTGCGCAGGAGGGGCCGCGAGCTCAAGGTCGTAACGGCCGCCTCGCAGCCCTTGGGGGCTGAGCGGCGCTCCGGGAGCGGGGGGCTGCGGCTATCGGTGGAAAGCGGAAGCCGTGCGGACGGTCTCAGGCGCTGTGCTGTTTCCGCAGTGCACCTGTACCAGCTGGACATCACGGTGAAGCAGGGCCGCAACAAGGTGCGGGAGATGTTCATGAAGAACGCCCATGTGACGGACCCGCGGGTGATCGACATGCTGGTCATTAAGGTACAACCGAGTTATTCCTGCCTGGGAGGGGAGGCGGGCTTTAGGTTTTGTTTGGCACTTCCCCTGGCTCAGTAACACACTCACTGTGTCAGAGGCATGCAGCCTGTTGGGTTCAAAATGTTGGTCGTGCACCAAGTGTAAGGCTCTGAAAGAGGCCTCCGTGGCAATAACGGATCTTTGCTGTTGTAATGCATGGAAATCCTTTCAGCCAAGAACTGCTGTGCCCATCTGCTGGATTTCCTGCATTTTGAGACAGCTACCCTATCTTGAAATGGTTAAAAACAAAGTCTGCATAGTCCTGGATGATACCGTGGGTGAAACTCAAAGGCACGCAAAAAGCACATAATTTTCAGAGCTGTAGGGACCTCTGGAGATCGTCAAGTCCATGCCCCTGCTAAAGCAGGTTCCTACAGTAGGTCACACCGGAAAGCACAGAGGCAGATTTTGAATCTCTCTGGGGAATCTCCACAATCTCTCTGGGCAGCTTGTTCTAATGCTCTGTCATTTTCACAGTAAAGAAGTTCTTCCTCATGTCCATATGGAACTTCCATTGCTCCAGTTTGTGCCTGTTGCCCTTGTCCTGCCCATACCACCAAAAACAGCAGGGCATCATCCTCATTAGCAGAACGTTATTTACTCAGTTTTACTCAGTGCACTTCACTATGTTCTGTAGTGCTGAATAATGAGAATTGAGCTACACTGAGAGTCGGTCTGAAGTTCTTCTGTCTCTACACAGGGGAAAATGGATCTCCAAGAAACCATAAATGTATGGAAGCAGAGGACACACGTCATGAGGTATTTTCATGAGACGGAAACCCCACGACCTAAAGACTTTCTGTCCAAATTCTATGAAGGCCACGATCCATGAAGCAGATTCTGTGTCTTCCTGTCTTGTATTACAAATAAAGTTCTACATGATACAAAAAAATCTGTACAGACAGATTGTATACCAGCCTATGAGACTATTCAATAAATCTGAATCTGGTATTTATGCAAGCTGCTGTAACATCCATGGAAAGTTGACTCCTGGCTTATGGGAGTGTGTATTTTCAGGAGCTTGTCCTGGAGTATCTGAATAACCACAGCAGCCCAGTTGTGGAACTCAGCCTGCAGTCCTGTGCAGAGGCAGCAGCTCCTTGGAAGACAGCAGACGAGTAGGCCTTCAGAGAGCCATTGCAGCTGCCAAAGTATTGTGCTTGAGACCTGCTCTTATTCATGCTATGCTTTCGTTGACCTTGTGTTTGACACTGTTCTCTGTTTACATCCTAGCAGAGAATGTCTTGAAATCCAATAGGCCAGAAAAGCCCTCTGTACCCTAAAAAGATCAGTAGCTTCCATTTCCCCACTGTAAAATTTAGTTACACAGGGCTGAAGAGACAGAGCCAGGAACGGGCAGGAAAGATAGCAGGAAAATGCAGCAATGAGGAGTTTGGCAATATAGAAAACAGGCATGACTGACTCCCAAGATCACATGAACTGAATCTGGAGAAAGAGAGCACAGCTCTGATATTGAGTGACTCAAGATCCTGCCAGCTTTCTTCAGCCACAGCTGTTGGGGTTACTTAGACAACAGGCCCATCTCTTTCTGTGGCTAAGCTAGAGAGTTAAACAGCAAATAAAAAAACTGCCAAATTACAAGTGCTGAGTTTAAAAATGAAATCACTTGTCTTTGAACTTTCAAGGTATTTGAAAAAACAGCTGGTGTGCAACTTGTCTGATGTGACTGAAGGTACTAGCAACAGAGAAGCCTTTAAGTCTTGTGTGATGATTTAATAGCGGTAGTAAATGCTTAAGAAAATAAGGGGGGGTTGAACTTTACAGACAGTTAAGAAAACATATTAGGACTGAGAGAGAAGTAGTGAATTATCTTGGCCTTACAAGGTACTTGGAGCCTCAGTTTCACCTTACATACATTAGCTTAGTTTGCCTCTCATGTTCTTCACCTTTTATGTTACCAAAGCTATTCAGAACTGTAACTGCACTGACAATGCTGTACTGAATTCAGTAATGCAGTTTATCAGACATACCTGCATAGTGCTTTGTTGCATGTTGTTTCAACAGCAGTGCTTTTGTCAGTATGCATTCTGATCTTTTAACAGGGCTGTGCTTTGGGGCTCCTGCATTCCTTAGGACTTCTGTTATAAACCGTAAACTAGTGCTGAATTACAGAAAGGACTCCAAAGAGAAAATAAATATGAAGAGAGTACTCACTGGAACTGACTTGTGGAGGTAGAAAGGGTAAGATAGAAGTTCTAGGTCATAGCCAATAATCTAAAAAAACACACACAAAAAAAACCCCTCAAATGTCTTGTTCTTTAATATATTGCTAATATAAGGAATCCCACGCAGTTCTTTATGAGGTTGGAGTGTGTATGTGCAAGGATGCAGAGCTTATGAAGCACTTATTTCAACCCTGATCTATAGATTTTTCATATACATACAAGTGCAGGACATTCACTGGCAAAGGGGATGTAATGCCCCCCCGTCCTCTTGAAGAAGGACAAAACATGGATGGCAGATGCTGGCACTATGTCTGTCTGTCAATGGTTTCCTCCCTTCTGTTCTTCAATTACAGTTCTGCAAACAGAGTAAAAAGACATTACTCTTCAGATATATGCCATAGCAATCTGCAGCCATATTCCTTCCCACAAACTAGGCAAGGTGGCAATTTGCAAAAAACAAGTTTCTAACGAGCGACTGAGATCTCTGCAAACTTGTTTTTAGCTGCACACTGCACACATGACTATAAAACAACACTGCTGGATATAATGAAATAACACCCAAAGTAAAATCTTACACAAAAGGACAAACCAGATGGAATCACATCAGATGAAGGAAAGTACATACATCCAGCCTACTTGCTTACAGAGGAACCAAAAAGCTCACAGCCAGTGGCAGCGCAGCTGTTCATGTCCTCAGCTTCAACCACAGCTGCTGCCTGCACTCCCTACAGGGCTGTGTCCCAGCACCATGGCAAACAGAAGCACCAGTAGTGGCACCCCTGGAGACAGTCGTGCCATTCCCGTACCCTTTAGTCATCGTCGTCGTCATCCTCTGGGACGAAGATGTCGTGTTCTTCCAGCAGGGCTGCGAAGTTCTTACTGATCTGCGTCCCGACATACAGGAACGGGATCACAACGCTGAACACTCTCAGGAGGCCAAAGGGCGTCTACAAGGATCCAACCGAGAAATGATGCATTTTTTTCAGCCAGCGTCACAGTGGATTAACTTTTGCAACTCTATGGGAGCTTCGGGCCAGGCTAAGCCGCGGGAAGGAAGGCCAGCAGGGGGCAGCGGCGTTTCACCCCACGGCGAAGGGCCCAGCAGCAGTGAGTACCACCACTTCATCGCCCCGAAACAGGCCGGCGCTGAGGGTCCGGGACGCCGCTCCCGACCCCACCCCGCCCGCAGCCGCGCCGCTCATTGGCCTAACGCCCGCCACTCAATCCCTCTGCCCCCGCCCACAACGGGAACTCCCGCCCTGATTGGCCACCGCTGGACCTACGACGCCCCCGCCGCTCTCGCCCGCTCGCTCACCTTAACCGGCTTAGGCAAAATGGCTCCGCTGCGGGTGACCGTGGCGCTCCGGGACGGCACCAGAGATGCGGCTGGAGCCTGGCGCAGCCCTCTGCCCCGCGCCCGTCCCGCGCCAGCCACCAGGAGCCGCCCGCCCACCGCTGCCATCGTCCCTCGCTGTCAGGGCCGGGCCGGGTCTCGACGCTCTCGCGAGAGTCGAACGGAGGGTGGGAGGCGGTGCCGCGCATGCGTGGCTGCGGCTTTCCCACTCCCCCCCCTCCCCCCCCGGTTTGACGGAACGCCTTATTGCGCCTGTGGGAGTTTTGGTGGTGACGCGGAATTACGAATACCAAACTGTTTATTCAGTTAGATAGCATAAAATACAAACGGTAACTGAAATGTATAATAACACACACAAGTTCTGCATGTAAAAAAAGGCTCACGCAAACCCGCCCCTTAGAAAGAAGAACGCGGTCTGTAGTCAGCATAGAAGCACCTCCACAGAGGGCGGCTTGGGCGAACCGCCTGTAGTGTTACCTGTGCTCCGCAGGGACCCCGGCACCCATCAGCACGGGGTTTCTCTCAGGTTCCTGGGCTGAGCCAGCCCCTTTATGGACACAGTGACTGCGGTACCACCAGGTGTTTGGCCATCCCAAACCACAGTGCCATCAGTTGGCTGCTGGTGGCCACTGGGAGACTGGGTCAGCCTTACCTCTGGGGCTTGACTTCAGAGCAAAGAGAAAGCATCAGAGTGGCTGTTCTATGAAGCATACATGTGCGCACAGTGATACGTTGTGGGCCTGAGCTGAAATCCTGTCCCCAGAAAGCTGCAAGGATTCCATCCATGTTTTGTTTGACACGTTGGGCTCCCTTACTGGCAAAGCTGTCCTGGAATCACAGCCTCGCTCCCGCTTTTGGTCTTCAAATTACTTTAAATTAAACCATCCAGATTCAAGCATTTTTTTTCCCATCACTTCTGCAATATTTCTTTAGGGAAAACCCTCCAAAATCCCTTCAGGACTGTAAGAAGAGCAGCCTTGCAGCTTTAAAACACTCTGTCTCCCATTGCTAAAGATCCTTCTGGCCACACATTTTCTATTAAAAATAATAATAATAATAATAATAACAATAACAATAAGAGAAAGTGGGAAGCTCTTATTAGCCCCAAAAGAGGCGTCCCTGCTCTGCAATGGGGCTGAGAGGTAGCCCTGACGAGTGCACCCGAAATCCCACAGCACTTTTGAGGAGCACTACCAAAGGTGTCAGGCTGCACACAGATATTTGGCATGATTCTGCCGTTTTCTTCTCAGTGCTGCAGAATAAAACACAGCATTACTCCAAATGCAGTCAGACAGGAAGGAAAACCCATCTCCTCATTTGCAGGATTTAGGATTTAGCTGGAATATTTGCTAAAGCAAAGCCAGGTGGTGTGGATATTGTCTGGTTTAAACAGGGCAGATTAGGCATTAAATATAAGCTCCTTAGCAGTGTTACTGGTGCAATCCTGGCTCATTAAAACAAACTAAGCTTCTTTAAAAAGTGAAACTGCCTGCATATGAATAGTGCTGTTTCAGGTCCAGTTCTGACTGAACTGGCTTTGTTAATCTATTTTCTCCTTCAAGTCTCTCCTCATTCTTGAGTCTCATGTAGGGACTCCCAGTACATTTTATTTTGGAAGGTAAATCTTTGCTATCAAACTGTCTTGTGTGAGTCTGAGACATCAGGAAGATTCTTTCTGTATTGCATTAAAAAAGAAGAAAGAGGCAATCTACATCTGACCCAGCCCTGAAAACCCACAATGGGGAGGTGGCACCATTCCTGATGTTGCTGCTGGGAATCCCAATGACTCCTGATGGGACACAGTCCCACTCCTGGCCCTCCTGTCCTGTTTTCTCTTAAAAAGCGAACAACAAAATCCTCCCAACCTTTAATTTCTCTGCTATGGAGAAATGCAGACATAAACTAGAGATTATTGGATTGCACCATTTGTATGTAGAGGTTACATTCCCACTGCCCAATGTCAGACCTGATTTAAGGTCTGATGCTAACACACCATGGCTAGGCAGGAAGATTGTCATCCAAAACTACTAGAGGGATTTTCAAAGGCACCAAAAGTGAATGGAAGCCATTTGATTTCTGCCTCTGACAACCTCTAGAGGTTATAGCAGAGTGTGAGGCTGAGCACATTCAGGTCCAGAAAGGTAAATGGTTACCCATGTCATGCTATGGCACAGCCTGCTGTTTTCCTAGCATCACTCCTTAACAGAACAGGGCAATAAAAACAAGCTTAATGCTGTTAGAGGAGAAAAAAAGGCATTTTTGTGCGTTTTTCTGCTTTGAAAAGCAGCCCTTGCCAAGAAGATAAGGAAAGATATTTATAAACAACCACTACAGAGGATTCTAATCCTTGGGCTGCTGCACTCAGCACTGCGTAATGTACCGTTGGCCTTTGGTTAAGGGTTCTGACCTAGCAGGTAAGTGTATGGGATGTGCTCCTGCAGTCAGCCCCATGATTCTGAGAGAGAGTAGGAGGGAAGCCCCAGCAGGACAAGATCTGGCTTTGGTAGGAGATCATATGGCTTTTAGGGCAAGACAAGTACAAACACTGCTGGCACATGAGGCTGGGAAGCCACAGTAATTCACTCCTTTACCTCTGGTGTTCTTAGGGCCAGCCACTTCTCAGGAGCGTACTGATATCCTTCCTCTACTCCAACTGTGTGGCTCAGCCCAGCTTCCCCACAGTGCCTCAAACACACCATCATGATCACATCAAAAAAGACCTCACACGAGCGCTTCTCTGCACTGTCTCCTGCATCTGACTAGCTGCCAGAGCCCTATATGGCACTTTCTGTGGTCTGTGCAGAGGCTGATAAATTCACCCCATGAAGGCAGGCAGCCTTTAGCATTCCTCTTTTTCAACAGGGAAAACTTGAGCCAGAGGAATGCACAGGCTTGGCTACAGCTAGTTAGTCAAAGTATCGAGGAGCTTGTGATCCTTGCCACCATTCAGATCAAAGCCCATCTTTCGTTCTGCCCTCCCCATAAGCCTTGCTTATGGACGCTCCTAGGGAGAGACGGCAGGGATGAGGCATTAGGGTAGCTGAAAGTTAAAAAAATGATGATGTTTGCAAACACAGCTGTGCTGTGGCTCAGTACACTGCCCTGTTCCCCACCCTGCTGGGGAGGCTGCTCATGGAGCTCTGCAGAGCTCTGGCACCCAACCAGAAGCCCCAGGAAGAGCAGCCTGTGCCAGCAGCATGGTCAGATCAAACGGGCACTCATCATGATGAGCCATGGCTCCTGGGCCAGCCAAAGCCATGGCATCTTTGTCCTCCTAAAGCTCACGTGCAGCTAACCAGGCATAAAGCTGTAGGCACCCTGAGGCCAGCAGCCCACTGGAGGCATTTCACAAGAGTCAATTTTTTCTGCAGCCAAAGAGCAAAAGCAGAAGGGCTTCAGCGCAACATCACAGACAATAATAAATGCTGACCTGTGCAAACTTCCACACTGAGAAACAAAACCAAACTGGATGATGAAACGCCCAGAGCATCCACCATGTAAGGACAGCAGGGCACTGAGCGTGGTCATATCCATGGAAAGAGAATGAGGCCCATTGGTACGCTGAGTCCTAGGGAGCACAAAGGCCCTCCTGCATGGAGGCAGCCGGTGAGGGAAGGGGCAAACAGCGTGCCTCGCTCTGCTCTGGCTCTGTGTCCCATCTCATGGGTGCCCCCTCTTCTGCCTCTCCTGCCACTCCTGCCTCAGTGCCGCGATCTCCTGCCCATACCAGTGGTGCAGCTTGGCAAAGCAGGTCGTCTCTGGTGACACCGGGCTCTCCTGCAAGGTGGGCACCGAGGATCCTGCGGCTGAGCGTCGGCGTGGAGGCAGGGGTGGGGGCTTTGTGTGCCCCCCATCGCGGTCAGGGCTGCTGCCCCACGTGGAGTACCCGTTCTCCAGGGCATGCTGTTTCTCCTGGACAGGCGGCAGGGCGGGGTTGGAGAGGTGACGCCTCCTGCCTGAGGAGGACCTCCGTGGTGACTTGCGGCACGCAGCCAAGCTGGTGCAGGCCTCCTGCAGCTGCTTCTCCAGCTCCCGCACCACCAGCCGCATGTAGTCGAAGCTGGCCCGTGAGAGCGCTTTCACCCAGGCCTCCATGGCGGCTTGCCCATCGGCCACCAGCACGTAGGCCTTGGCACCAGCATCGTCAAAGCGGATGGCAAAGGCGAATTCCTCGGCAGCCTCGCAGAGCTCCACGGTGCAGCCCTCCAGCACCACCAGCCCCACAGGCTCCCGGCTCTCCCGCTCCTCAAAGTAGAAGAGGAGGTTGCCCTTGAGGACAAACCATCGGCGCTGGTAGGAGGTGCCATGGTGACCATGGTGGTGGTGCCGCTCCACACGCTTGCGCAGGAAGCCGGCGTGGTCAGTGGGCGAGTCACAGGTGGCGTAGTGGGCCACGCTCCGCTCATTCAGCTTCATGGCCACAGAGAACGGTTAGCTCAGTGCTGTGTGTTGTCCATCCAACAAGTACAGCAGCTGCAGGGATAATCTCCAGGCCCACCACCACAGCACTGCCTCCTTCAGAGATGCTGCTTTGTTTCCTCCCCTGCCAGTGACCTACTTTGCAGGGTTTTTATGGAGCACACTGAAGAAACAGCAAGCAGTCATCTTGCTTTCTCTTGTGTTGTAGGATGTGGGAAGAGGGCATTTTCAGATGCTCTAGGATCTCTGTTTCAGCATCCTCTCCGCATCTACGCTCAGGACTGTGCAGCCCCACCGGCATCCCATAGCACTGCTGTCACCCAGCACTGCAGCCAGCACTGCCCTAAGCCATGTGGCTCGGTGGGTCAGACTGTGACCCCGTGACGTCTTCCTTGGGCCAGCTGCTTTCTTGATGAGCGCCTCTGGAGCTCCACTGTACAGAGCTCCATACCTGTTACAAGAAAAGGCAGGGGAGAGTCATCAAACACCAGAACAAGAGCAACGAGCTGCACAAGGACTGTAAGAGCAAAGAGCTGCATGGCTCCCACTGCTAAATATTTGCAAAGCCCAGGACACTTTCATGGGCTCCGATGCCAAGCCCAGTTCCAGCTCAGGACCTCGCACTGCCTGCAGACGCAGCTGAGTGCTGGTTTTCTCCTGCGACACGATCACAATCAGCCTCACAGCCTGATTCTGAACTCTACTTGGCTCCTGTGGGTTCGCTTTGGTTTTAGTTGA